CATCATTTTTTGCCCCAGGCACTGAGATTTGCCTTTGCTCCAACTGGCTCTGGCAAGCTGTTACCTATCCTTTGTCCAGCTATGTCACAGAAGTGACCACTTTGCTAAATAAGTCATCTGCATCCTTGGTTCTAAGTATTCATTGGGTTCCAGTTTCCTGGCCTTGCCTTCCTGTTTTCCTGCCTAAAGTGCTCCGAATCTACCCCTTCTAATGTTGATGAGGGTCCTCTTTTCATGTATGTTTTTACATTAATTGGTTGGCCCAACACTCTATGGTCAAGAAATGGCAGGGTTGGGATTCAAACTAAAGACTGAGCTCTGTCTACCACAACCCCATGCCTTACCCAGGAATTAATTGTGCCACAGTAATCTCGGTTTCCTAATAGTGCTCCCTCCAAGGTGCTATATGCTGTAGGCAACCAGTAAGTATGTGTGACCAGGGTAAAGTGAGGAGCCTTCCAGACCCCAGCTGCTCATGAAGTGTGTCCTCAGACTTGCCCACATTAGCAACCATGTGACTCCACTTGGACAACAGGCACCACTTTCCAGCCTAGTATTCAGGAATCTGCTGAGTACAGCTGTGTCCAGCCTCTCCTTTCCTTTTAGGGTTTTGTGGGCTCATCCTTCTCCACGCCAGATGAGCAAATCCTCATCATTGTAGTGTGAGTCAATGGGTTCCTTCCAGCACCCAACTGGAAGATACCTTAGTTGAGGTCCACTCATGAACAGTGAGGTCAGAGCATCTGCACACCAAAGGAGCTGCCTAGGAGAAGGTCAGTTGGTCTTGATCTTGCCTATAATTGGCTCTGGGAGGCAGCAGGGTCACTGCTCCTAGAGTCAATTCTAGGGTCAAGCTCAAGACCAGCTGACCCAGGGTCCGTCATAGTGAGGTGAACAGAACAGAACAACATGAGGAACAGAGCACATTTTTTTTTTGAAATATTCATACAGTCATATTAAAACCAACCAGGCTAAATCAGAAAGTGGAATGCAAATTTTGCATGAATTGTTAAAGTAAAACATGAGACTATGAAGGAATTTTAAGCTTACTGTTGTTTGCTTTGAGCTGTATCCACTGAGATAGCTGTTCCACTCTAGTCTCTTCTGTTATGGATAACCTCCTGGGAAAAATGTGAGATACAATGGTGGAAAAATAGTCTCTGTAGTGAGAAAAAACCAGTTTAAATCCTGGTTATTTCACTCACTAGCTATGGAACTGTGGGCAAGTGATTTCTCCCCTAGGAGCCTTACTTTCCTCATCAGTAAAATGGTGACAATCACAAACCCTCCTTTAGAATGTTGGAAGAATTTAATGAGCTCACACATTACAGTCCCCAGCATAGGGTCTGTTGGTTCCTTTGCAGGCCACACCCACAGAGAGGGCTAGCACTAAAAGCAAGCTGTCCCTTTCCATTCCCATAAAGGCCTACTGTGGCCTTCTAGAGACCCAAGGGCCCCTGGTTGGCCCAGATTCTTCACCCCAGAAAGGATGCAATGTTGGAGTGCAGCTAAGATACATCCTATAGCTATCTAGGCCATAAACACACACAAGTGGAGAAAGTTCCTGGGCTTCTCATTACTTTCTTGTATCTTCTCCAAACAGGGTTCACATCTATGAGGTAAGAGCTCCTGTTGTAAAGACTCAGAGAGCACTAATAATATTTTCCTCTGCTCACGACAGGCTGAGCTCACCCTGTAAATGGGGTGGGGTGGGGAGATCCCCTGGGGGAGGTGGTGTTGACTCCAGAGATGTCCTGGGTAAAGGAAAATGTTCAAATTCCTGGGCACTGGTGCCCCATCTCATCCAAGCCTTGCCACATCCTTGTCCCATGGGATCTTAGGAAGTCATCCCCATCTGTGAGCCTCAATTTCTTCCTGTGTGCACTGGCTTAAGACCTATTCACTGCCCTGCTTTCTTTGGAGAATGGTTGGGTTTTGGGAAAACAAGGGGATGAGCTGGGGGACTCATCACTGGTCCTTGCTGGGTTACCCCACCATGGCCTGATACATATATATATATATATATATATTTTTTTTTTTTAAAGTTTTTTTCTTCTTGAAGTCACACTTTAAATTCCTACCATTTAAAATGATAGAAACTGCTGTCATGTTTATCTGCCAGCTATTACACCCTTTCCTGAGCAGAAAAAAAATGTTAGGATTTGTGTTAAATAGCTCTTCCTCCACCCTCATGCTGTCTGGATGTACCAAGATCTGAGATAATAGCCTACAGCAGGTGGATTTGCCATGCTCCAGCCTCCTTGCAGGCTGGGGAAGGCCAGCTGGGGCAGTGGGCTGGAGCCAAGGGAGGCCAGCAGGCCCAGTGTGGGTGGGTCCCCGGGGTCTGCTGAAATACACCTGGGGAGAGGCTCATCAAAGGAAAAGAGCAAGTTCATCATGGGGTTCCTTTGCTTGCCTTTGCTTTGAGGCTCTTCCTTTTGAACCTCTAAAGTGACAGCCCTTCCTTGATCAAGTCTGGTGTCCCTGGACTTCTAGACAGCTCCAGAGCCCATGCCAATGGAAGCCACTTTTGTGGGCTCCTTTCATGTTCCATCCTCATGGGCCTGGAGATCTGGGTTGGTGACCCTGCTCTGTGGTAAAGCAGAGACCCTGGGTTTCTCATAGAATCCAAGTCTCATGATCCACTGTATATTTAGTTCCAGCAACAAAACAGTGAGCAGACAGACAAAGAGATGTGATATTAAAAAGTACACACTTAAGGGAATGTTTTCACAGTGTCTGATGAAAGTAAAAGAGGCAGCCCCATTGGTCAGAGGGAGTCTTTGCCAACACGAAGCTGAGTACATCTCTCTAAAGCTCCGTGGACTCCTTGTTGCCAATAGGACAAAGTCTGCACTCGCGATGGGCCTCTCTCTCCTGGACCCTGGCTCATCCCTGCTGCTCCGCCTGTTGTGCTGTGCTCGCACTGGGCTGGCCTCCCCCGGGCTGCTCCTCCCGATGCCTTTTCACATTTCTTTGCCATTGCACATATGGATCCCTTTGCCTGAGTTTCCTTTTTTCCTTTTTCTACCTGTTAAGACCCAGCAGGAATGGATGTCCCCTTCTCCAGGAAGCCCTAGGCCAAAGAGACTTTCTTGCTCCTAGGCTCATGGAACACTCATCCACTCCACACTACTGCACTGTGGTTCAATTTCCCCAGCATACAGTGGGCTCCTGAGGGCCAAAGCTGTGCCTTCTTGGGTTCTCTGCCCCTCATGCCCTGTCTGGGGCTAGACCAGCCTTCAAGATGGAGCTTCCTCAGTCCCAGCCCACCTGAGGCTGTCAGATACTGGGCCTAAGCACTGGCTAGAGATCAAGGTCGAGAGTGTCCCTGGCTGGTCCCTTCATAGCCTGAGGGAACAGGGAGTTGTTTTTACTGACTAAGAAATTAGATGAGACTGGCTTTCCTGGGGAGCTGGGAATGTGTTACTAAAATATATATGAAATTCTGGGCTTCCCAGAAGAACTGGCATCAGGAAGAAAGTACTAAATTTCCATTTGTAGAGGAGTTCTCTGCTCAGAAGTTTCTGGCCTTATTTTCCCTCCATAAAATAATTGCTTGACTTAGAGAACATGAGAAAAACAGCACAGAGAAGTCTCACTCCCATTACCTGCCCCTTTGGAACCCAGGATTTCAACACTGAGGAAGGTGCCTGGGTTTCCTCATTGGAGGAGATGATCAAATGGGGATGGTAACAAGCCAGTAGCTCTCTCCTGGGGGTTCATAAGGACCGAGTGGAATGTCCTGTGGAAAGTGCCAAGCATGATCCCTGGCATACAGTAGAGACTTAGCAAATGTTGGTTCCCTCTCACTGACTCACACTTTGGACAAGACCCTAGATCTCCAGGCCTGATTCTCTTGACCTATTTTAAATCAAAGTATAATGGGCTCCACAATGGCCTTTTTCAAGGTGGCTGCTGGGTTTCTTTAGGAAGGAGTTCAAATTTGGAGATCCAAATTATGCCCAAAGCTGGTGCTCTATCTGCCCCAGAAACCAAAGGGACCATCTTCAGGCTCGCCCATCTCTCCCTTGCTCAGTGGCATGCTGTCCCAGGGTGGGAGCTTTTAAGGACATTGCCAGGAAAAAATAAAAGGCCCGAGAGATTTGTCTTAGAGGTACACACTCAAACTCCCCCGCCCCTTTCTTTTTGACACAAGAGACTAAGATTTTACACCCCTCAAAAGAAAGTTTCTTTTCGCATACACTTTGGAAAATAATCAGATCTGGTTTGTCTCTTCCAAAGAAAGCTACCACCAAAGAGACACACGGGTTACATCCTACAGGTCAGCCTGAGCCCTGCCCCAGGGAGGTGGTCCCTTTTTACAAAGACAAGGAGGAGCAGAGAAGTTCCCTGAAGTTCCACCCTCTCCCACTGACCACACAAAAAAGCAAAGAACACCTTTATCAAAGAGTGCTGTGGACACAGCTGGCCGGCCAGTGAATGCTGGACAGTCAAGGCCCGGGCTGGGGAAGGGGTACAGAATGGTTGTGGGCCAAGCCCCATGCAGGTTAGGTATGAGGATGGGGGCCTCTCTCGTGACCTAGGGAACATCGTAAGGTCACACTGGTTCAGACTGCAAATGTCTGGTGCCAGAGGCCCCTGAAGGAGGTTGTAGGGGGCAGCAGAGCAGTGACCCCCAAGAGCCCCAATCTTTTCCATGACATGGAGGAGCAGAACACACATCTCCTCCACTCCCAAGGAGAGGGAAGGCAGGGGAGCTTCCCATTCCCCAGCACCTGCACAGTCGGCTTGCCACGAGATCCACAAACTCAGAACAAAAGCAGGAGGTCTGGGAGCCAGAAATCCAAGGCCTTGCTTGTGGGTGCACTTCTGCTTGGGCCCGTGGCTGTGGCTGGTTAGGTTGAAAAGGAAGCCTGGGCCTTTTGGAGCAGCATCTCCCACAGCAACAGGAGACCCCTCAGAAGGTGCAGAGCCCTCCGTGGAACACAGGGCCACCAGTCTTCTCCTTGGAGTCAGGCAGGGTGCCACCACCTTGGAGCCCCTGAGCCCAGTTACTGCCATTCACACAAAAGGGGGCTTGGTCACAGCAGCCTCTGGACTCTGGCAGGTTCCCCATCCCATTGAGCTAAAAGGAGCTTAAGTATTCCAGTGCCACCTCGTATACAAATTTATACTGTTCCTGAGAGGCGGAGAGGAGGAGAGGCAGAGAGGGAGAAGAGGAGACAAGAGAGATGAAAAAGGAAAGGGAAAATGCATTTAGTTTAGAGATACAGATTTTGGAGAAAACTTTATCTACATCCACATTATGTCAACTCAAAATTACCCCTATCTGGACATCCTTCAAAATTCCACTTGATGGCTGCTTCTACCCAGGCTTCCTCGAATGCCCAGCTGGCATCATTCCCTTTCTTTTTTACTGTTTTGTACAACAGTGCTTCTCCAACTGTAATGTGCATACAAGGCAGCCAGAAATCTTTTTAAAATGCACATTCTGATTCAGTAAATCTGGAGTGGGGCGCAAGATTCTGCATTTCTAACAAGCTCCCAGGTAATGCTGCTGCTGCTGGTCTGTGACCCACGTGCTAACAGGGCCTCATTTTGACCAAGACCACACTTGGAGTAGGTTTAAAGACATATTAAAGCTCCTCGTGCATGGTGCAGTGGCCCAGCATGGTACCGCGTCTTACCATCTGGGGCTCGGCCCGCACACCCTCTTTGCTGCACTTTCCTCCACAGTGCTCTCTACTGCAAATGCTCTCCATTGTAAAAATTAGCATAAATTAATAGGAATATAATTGGACAGAAGTGAAAGCATACTTCACATTCTACTAATCCAGAATCCTTTCCTTTAAGCCTGAATTAACGACACTGTCTTAAGGAATGGGCAGAAAGTAAAGCAAAGTAGGTGTACCAGGATTAATAATTGGATTTTCCTGCAAGAAAGAAAAGTTGGGGAGGTTGGAAGGGGAAGACACAGGGCAGATAATGGTGCATATCAAGGGCACAGACTGCAGGTATATAATCAGCAGCCAGCTGTTGAGTGATTTTACTATTTGATGTCATTTTCTCCAGGTCAAGGGAACTAGTCAGCCCCTGGCTGTTGGAGAACAGTCCTTGGGATACTCACCAGGGTCTCCACCATGTTGGATTTGTTGTTACGCAGTGTTTTCACGATGTGGAACACGTCAATGATGTTTTGCTGCTGGATCATCTCACACACACTGCAGATGGCACAGAAGGTTCCACTACGGCCTCCCCCGTTTCTAAACACAGAGCAAAGAGGTGAGCCATGTTCCTAGGTCACTTCCAGGCACCTGATGATTCTAAAGCTACATCCGTAGGAATAGGGATCAGCTGCCTGGGCAGATACAAGGCAAGGCAATGGTGCAGGCTTTAGCCTGAGCCATGAGTTATGGTTTGACTCTGTGCCATTAACTTCCTTTGACCTTGGGCAAGTCACTTCCTCTGTCTGGGCCCCAAGTTCCTCACTCATATAATGAAGGGGTTGGACTAGATGACCTTTGAGAGTTCAATTAGCTTGACGTTTCTTGGTTCTATGAGCATGTTACAGTCACTCGGGGCACACTCACCCAAACGCCAAGGGCAGGACAGTACTGTGTCTTTGTACATGTGACACCTACATCCTTGCTGATGCTTGCATCCATGTCCAAAAGGATGCTGTGGGTCCACTTAAACATCCAATAAAGACAATGAAAATTTCCAAGTGATTTTCCTACTAGTTCTTCCCATCCTCCACTAAGGACAGCAATACTCTGTTAGCCTAGGGTCAGCCAGCCCAAGCTTGGAGGTAGGAACTTGGAGGGAGGAACTGGGCCTGATAGGCTTTATCTTAAAATGACAGGTGTCTACTATACACCTTGGTTTAAGCAAGATGCTACTGATCTTGAGTCTAGGGATAGAAGGTTGGTGGCAGAGCTATGTCTGTTATTCCTTTCTGAAATTCCATAAGTCATCTTCATGGAAGCACCCTTCAGACTCTTTACAGAGAGTCCCTGTAGGAATATGCCTGATTCAGAACTCCTGGGCGTGTTGCCAAGAGCAACTAATGATTTCATGTAATGGTCTGTGTCTAAAGAACATCTGGACGGAAACTAAGGCACTCAGTCAATCTCCCAGATGTTTTATCTATAGGATACGCAGTGACCAGATGTTTCAAGTACAGAGAGTTGCTTTCCATTCACTGACTGGTGCCTGCATTTCAGGATCTGTTATGGTGTCTGTGACTCTTGAGGAAACCAAGGTCCCTGTTGGTAGAAGATTGTCCCTGTACCTTCCTTTGGTTCAAACTACTGGCCACCTTGGCTGGAAAGGACATAGATAAAAAGACACTACTGCAAACGAAAACAAAAACAAAACAAAAACAGGCTAAAAAACAAACATGAGAGAGAGAGAGAGAGAGAGTAAGGTCTCCTGTGAAAGAAGGTTCTTTCATTTCTGAAGCAAGAATAACAGTGTCCAAAGGGAAGAGGTGAGTAGGCACAGGGTCTTGGGGCCTGGTGGTCTGAGACCCTGAAAGATGGGTGCTAAGATAAGGTCACCTGAATGTGTGGAAGGCATCTGGGCATCTGGAGGCAGCAGGGATTAGCTGGCAGGAAACCAGCTGCTAGTTTCTGGGATGTGGGCAGAGCCACCTGGGCTTGGCTGATGTCACCCATCAACCTGACTTGGGATACCATGTAGCGTCTTCCTGAACTCTAGCCTGAGATTTGCTTCCTCTGGAAAGGAATATCTGCTGCAGGTGGTGGCCCTGAAGCTCTGTGTGTGCATCTCTATGTGTCTGTATGTTTAACCTCCTTTAAGCTCTCTGACTTTCCTAACATGTGCATGCATCACCTGTTTGAGAGGGAGAATAATTAGCTGGTTTTGAAAAGATTGACCTCAATTCTGAGGTCAGTCAGATATTATCAGTGCCTCCACTAGCTCCAGAAATATTTGTTCTGAGAAAGAGAAGACCTTGGTTCAAATTTCCTTTAACATAACATTTTTAAAGAGAGAGGCCTTCTCAATGACTTTTCCTCAAATCGTTGAAGTTCTAAGAAGCAAAGTGAGTGACTGTGAATAAAATATTTCACACATAGCTGTTATGGCTGCAGATTTGTTTTGGGTGTGAGACTTCGTAGAACCCTATGTGGTCACTCTGTACTCCTATGATAGGTTCTGTGACACTTGCTCTTTTAAGTAATTACATTGACAACATTTGCATATTTGCTACCATGACATTCTTGGTCATGTTGGCAGATAAAGTGTGTTTACTCATGCCAAAGCACTATAGGGTCTGAAGATTGTCTAATTCCACATACCCATTGAACAGATGAGGAAACTGAGGCTTATAAAATTCAGTGATTTTCTTGACATTGGACCCTTTGTCAGCCACTGTCCTCTCGAGGTCCTGACCTCCACCCCGCGTAATGACATCAGAATTCATTAGACTAGACAATGTCCATTCAAAGACAGGAAGTAAAGTCTGCAGTTCACCCCAGCAATGGGGGTATAAACACAGCTGGTCTGGAGCTCATTGTGCCCCTGTGCAATAGTGTTCCCAGAGTCCTTCACATCTGTCTATCAGTCCCTCAGGGCAGTGCCTTTCCCTCATGCTCTTTTTGTCCTGTGATCCCTCTAAACCCATCGTAGAGAAGTAGGCATAGTAGACAAGTCCTTTGGTTTACTCAGAGACAGTGTGGGTTAATCAATGGCGCATTAGCTTAGAGGCCAGGGAATGCAAGCCATAGCCCCACCCTTGATTCCTGATGACCTTACCCTGCCTGCACCTCAGTTTTCTCACTACAAAATGATAATTATCTACTTCACAAATGGATAGAGATGATTCATTTAAAATGTCTGGATTATTAAGCTCTCATAATCAACACCTTCCCTTTTCTCTCCTTCTTCTTCTTCCTCGGGAAATAACAAAGGAGGTTCTGGTCAGTGGAACCCACTTTGTCCTGGGTTTTCTTGTGACTATCAGGGCATATCATGCCTCTTATTGGAAAATGGGGCTCACCTTATTATTGCAAGCGTTGGAACATGGTCTGCCACCTCCTCTCATGTTTGTGGAAAGACCAGCAGGTTTTGCATCAATCATATGCCATATATTAGTTCAGGACAACAAACTGGCAGCCCTGTTCCATTAAAGGATCTTAATTCCTTTGAGTGCACTGCCACTAGCCTTTGAGGGATGTTGAGTTGTGGTATAGCCAGGCCTGCCTAGGACTGGTGTATGTGGCCAGCAGCATCTGCAAGGATGCTTTATCACCCACCATCCTATTGCCCTGGTGACACCTCCCTAGTACTCACAGGCAGTGGACCACAGTGCGTCCCTCCCTCCCGTCATACTGCTCCTGCCACTTCTCCAGTCGTCGGACCACTTTGAGCAGAGAGCGCTTGGAGGGGGGCGTGTCCCGGTAGGCAGGCCAGCCAATGTACTGGAGGTGCTGGACTATACGATAACCGTCCTGTGGCTGAGAACAGAGAGGCTGTTAGGGCTGTTCTAGTGGGGATGCCTGGGGACACGCACCTTGCAGATACCCTGGGGACTGCAGCATCATAGTGGAAGACAGACCAAGCGGGATCTAAGCCAAGTCCTCATGGGGAGAGTCCCCGTGACTACTTCTATTCCTTCGTGCACACAGACTCTCTTGCCGTGACTGCCCTGACCCCCTTTTGTACCTAAAAAGCTCCTACTCAGCCTTCAAAACCCAATTTAAATGTCCCTTTCTTTAGGAAAGCCTTCCCTGACTGTTGGGCGGAGTTCTTTCTCCCTGAGGCTCATGTGCCAGAATATGTCTCACTTTCTCAACAGACAATGAACTCTGAGCTGAGGGGCAGGGGAGGTGCTGAGCTCCTTTCATCCTGGGCCCCAAGTAGTGACCAAAACTGTGTTAGCAACCATTTCATAGATTGCTAATCTGCCCCTCCCACCCACTACTCTGCTTAGCCAGTGAATATCCTCATGGAAGTAAGTAATCACTTTTCATCTAGGTGTTGGCAGTGCCTGGCCCAAAGCTTATGGGATCCAATCAAAGGCTGCATCAACTCATGCCAGTACAGAGACACAGTGGGGAAGATCTAATGTCTAAGAAGTTTTGTCTACACGGCAGCAAGTGTGTCAGGAAACAGGCAGATGGCAAGTTGGATGTCGCTCGTTGCATCTCTATGTGTTGAAGTCATTGCTGAGTCTGGAGCCGGAATCAGCACAGGCATCACTTCCTCAAGGAAGAAATTATCAGGAGAGCACAACACAGACTCTTGGCTGGCTCAGCGGGATCCTCTCTCAGCAGCCTCCATCTGTCTTGGGGAGGAGGGGCTCAGCAAGCAATGGTGGCCGTGTACTTACCCGGGCCATGTTACAGATGCGGAATATTCTGTGGATGATGTCCTCGTCGATGTCTGCGGAGACGAACTCCACCTGGATGGGCCCGTAGCACCCGGAGGTCTTCTCAGGCCAGTACTGCATACAGAACTGGGATAAGGAAAGAGGTCACAGAAAGAGGTCAAAGGCAAGAGGGTGGGTATCAAAGTCTCATGTATCAACAAGCTTTTCTTTCTTTTCTTTTCTTTTCTTTCTTTTTTTTTTTTTTTTTTTTTTCCTCACGATGTTCAAGTGAGCACGAACTCCACCTGGACAAACTGAACCCGATGTCTTCCCGTCAAAAATCCACACAAGAACCGACAACAAGTCGATGCATCCGGTCATTTCATCCAGAGGGTGGGTAATAAGCTCTGCACAACAAGTTTTTTTTTTTTTTTTTTTTTTTTTTGAGACGGAGTATCACTCTTGTTTTCTTGTTGCCCAACCTGGAATGCAGTGGCACAATCTCGGCTCATTGCAACTTCTGCCTCCCAGGTTCAAGTGATTCTCCTGCCTCAGCCTCCTCAGTAGCTGGGATTATAGGTGCCTGCCACCATGCCTGGCTATTTTTAGTAAAGATGGGGTTTCGCCATGTTGGCCAGGCTAGTCTTGAACTCCTGACCTCGAGTGATCCACCCGTCTGAGCCTCCCAGAGTGCTAGGATTATAGGTGTGAGCCACTGCGCCCAGCCATCACCAAGTTTTTCTTATGGCTGGCAGGACACATTGACCAGAAAGGTGGAGTATTACGTAGGAAATTAGACTCAGTTTCCCCTTTAGGGAGCAGCCACCCACTTTTTCTGGTGTTGAAATATCAAGGCTTTGAGCACAGAAACACTGGGCTTACAAATCTTTGCTATGCTGATTTCAAACCATTTGTTCGGTTTGCTGAACCTGAGTTTCCTCATCTGTAAAATGGGGAGAATAATATCTACCTCTAAGCCCTGCTGTCAGGATTAGATAGAACATGCTAAAGAAAGGGCAAGTACAATCTAGTTTTCTTTTCACCATGCAAATCATGGCAAACTCCTCCTCATTCCAGGAAAACCTTCATAGGGTTCATTCATGATCAGATCAGAAGTAGTATAAAAAATATAGGGGTTTGACCTCAGGCAGCCTTGGTCCAAATCTGGGCTGTGGTGCTTACTAGCTGTGCAGCCCAGGCCTCAGTTTTCTCATAGGTATACTGGGGATAATTATGTTTACTTTGCACCAAAAGTTAATGTCACATGGTGCTAACAGATCTTGCCTGTGATTTTTTCTCTTTATCTGGAATTGGAAATTAGAACCTACAGCTGAGAGCAAAAGGCAATGATTGACCTTCAGTTTAAGACAGTGGTTCTCAGTTGGAGGCTGTTTTGTTTCCCAGGGGACATCTGGCAATGTCTGAAGACATTTTGATTGTCACACCTGGGGGTTACTATGGGCATTTAGTGAGGAGAGGATGCTACTAAACATCCTGCAATGCACAGATTAGCTCCCCCCGAGAGTTATGTGGCCCCAAATATCCATACTGCAGAGACTGAGAAAACCTAGTATAAGATCTTTTTTTTTTTTGAGATGGAGTCTCACTCTGTTACCCAGGCTGGAGTGCAGTGGTGTTATCTTGGCTCGCTGCAACCTCTGCCTCCTGGGTTCAAGCGATTCTCCTGCCTCAGCCTCCCAAGTAGTTGGGACTACAGGCACATGTGATCATACTGGCTTTTTTTTTTTTTTTTTTTTGTATTTTTAGTAGAGACAGAGTTTCACCGTGTTAGCCAGGATGGTCTTGATCTCCTGACCTCGTGATCTGCCCACCTCGGCCTCCCAAAGTGCTGGGATTACAGATGTGAGCCACCACACCTGGCCATAAATTATTCTTTAAACTTCAGGGGTCATCGAGAAGAAGAGATGGAGGCCAGGTGTGGTGGCTCACGCCTGTAATCCCAGCATTTTGGGAGGCCGAGGTGGGTGGATCATGAGGTCAGGAGTTCAAGACCAGCTTGGCCAAGATGGTGAAATCCTGTCTCTACTAAAAATACAAAAATAAGCCAGGCATGGTGTCAGGCACCTGTAATCCTAGCTACTCATGAGGCTGAGGCAGGAGAATCACTTGAACCCAGGGGACAGAGGTTGCAGTGGGTTGAGATCATGCCACTGCGCTCCAGCCTGGGTAACAGAGCAAGACTCCATCTTAAAAAAAAAAAAAAAAAAGAGATGGATACCTTGCTTCTTGTATCTTCATCTCTGTTGAGCCACTAGATAACTTTAGTTGAGGAGAGAATGTTGTGGTAGGGGGTGGGGTGTGTGGCTGAAGAGAGGAGCAAGGCATGCTCCCTCCAGTTCCTGGTTCCCAAGGGGCACAGAGATGGACCCTGCCTAGGTCTACAGGTCCCATTGCTGGGGTACAGAGGAGAGTCAAGATTGGGGCTGCAGGCTCACTGGCTCACTGAGGACCACGCCAACATGAAGAAAGAGGCCATGTGTTAGACCCTTCATGGGGGGGTTGCCCTGAAGATATAGCCAAGATTCACAAAGACAGACCCACCAAGGCTTCTGAGGGCACTTTGGAATTGAGTCTCATCAGGGGGGCCTGGGTTCAGGCTACCCCACGCTTGCAAATAGAGGGCTAGATTGACAGAAGTGACCCACCCCCCTACAGATGCAGGGTTTTCATTGAAAGGGGTGCTTGCTCTCCACTTTGTGGCTGAAGAACAGCCATCTCACCCTGAGAAGTCACATGTGAAAATATCTTCATTCTTTTCTTCCTCTAGAACTAGAATTATAAGGGAAGAGCAGTGAGCAGGAAGGATGTAGGAGATGGAAACTCATGTTTCCCACCTTCTTAGCTGTGGATACCCCAAGTTCTAGCTTAGGAACATTCACCTTATAGCAGCAGCAGCTGGCATACTATTGCCCACAGACCAACCCAGCCAGCTGCCTATTTTTGCATATAAAACTTTGCTGAAACACAGCTACACTTATTCATTTATGTATTGTCCACAATTGCTTTCATGCTTCACCCACAGAGTTGGGTAGTTGTAACAAAGACCATATAGCCTGCAAATCCTGAAGTATTTCCTATCTGGCTCTTTACAGAAAAACTTTGGCAACCCTTGCTTTATAGGGTTGTTCTGAGGATAAAGGACATAATTCATGTAAATAAAGCCCTTACCACAGTGCCAGGCATGGAATAAGCATTTACTAAATTCCAGTGATTCATACCATTATTGAACCCATCAGTACTCAACAAAAATAATAATGGTAATAACTATCACATATAAATTTGAAGGATTCTTCTTATCACCCCTCATAAATAGCATAAGTATGCAAGGTTAAGCTTCAGAATGCAATGATGCCTTGCTTTCCTGGCACCTCCACTAGGGGTTAACCAAGCATAGTGAGAAAGGAGCTCTGAGTGTATGTGTGTGTGTGTGTGTGTGTGTTGTCGGGGCACTGGTCACAGAGGCCTCCATGGCTGGACAACCATCTGCTGAGCTGTACAATAATGACAAATCCACAATTTGAACTTCATTTCTCTTTGCCATTGGCTCTTCCGCCTTGCAACCTTCACAGTAATGAAAGACTGGTACAAATAGGTCTATCGTTGGTCAGAGAAACCAGAATTAATCAGAACTGCCCATTAAAAAAATAATTGCTTTTATCACCTGCACTGAATTTAGCGTTCCCAGAGTTTGGCTGTGATCCTGACATGAGGTGCATGGATCCAAATCAGGGAAAGCCTATTACCCCCAATATCTTCAGTCTGGAGAGAATGTGGAATGATTTGTCTCTTTTAATAAGATTTCCAGACCAATTTCTCAAGCTAATAGATTCTACTATGCCTCAAACAAAACTCCTATATTTCGGGACACTTCTCTGCATTCGATTTTCTGGGTCACTCTCTCATAATGCCCAGAGGGCTGGGGAAGGTTGCAGGCTTTTCCAATCCTTAATCAGAGTCATCCTTTCACTTGGGCGCCCTAATTTGTGAGGCTGCAGCAGCAGCAGGATGGGTGACATTCAGAAGGGTGATGTGCTGGCGTATGTGGTGTTTGAGCTGCTAGGGATCATCAGGGTCTCTCTCTGCAGCCCAGGACATTGCATATACTCTAGACATGGGAAATAAGAGAAAGAAAGCAGGGAGGCCACGTTTTCTCTTCCCACTGACCCTTTGGGGCTCAGAAATGATTCTCATCAACAAGAAACATCCTCTGTGGTTTAGCTCAAGACTATCCTGGTGTTCAAGTGCTGTGGCTGCACCTGAATGGATGCCACCATTTTGGTTTGCTTATGTTGTATAGCAAAAGGTGGGAAAATGCATTGGGGTTTCTGGATTCCAATCCTGGCTCTATCACTTTCTAGTTGAATGGCTTGGCTACATCTCTTAGCTTTTCCAGTTTGTTATGAGTGGCTGTGAATTTTAATGTCTACATAGCATAGGGATCTGTATCTAGCAAGCACTCAATAAATGTAAGCTGTGATTATTAGGCAGTATGGGGGAGGGTTCCTCAAAACAAGATGGATAAATAGAAGATTTTTTTCTCCACTTAGTAGCTCTTATGAAAATTTCTCTTTAGGATAATACCCAAAGGACTGCCCTTGTGAAAATTCTGGATCAGCCAGCTTGGGGTAGCTGTGAAGATGAGTAGCATCCTAGATATGTGATACTGCATGTCAAAAAACAGAGATCTGTAGGTTGCTCTGATGAGCTGAATGACCCAGAAGATAAAAGAGGAAGGTTGGGATCATTGTAGAACCAATGAGGTATAAAAGGCAACTCAATGTGTCACATAACCCTGCTCCTAACCTCCAGAATATTCCATACATTCATAATAGCATGTAAAATGCATACTGTGCATGTATTTCTTGCAGAAACCAGCAAGGAACTGAGCTTGGCTCCCTGGCTCACATAGACAAGGAACAGAGATCACAAATGTGAGTGGAGGAGCCAGACTTTTCATATAAGCACGTAAGCATCTGCGATTTATACAACTCCTTGGGAGGGAAAGCTTATGGTTTCTTAAGGCTCTGGAAATGTGAATTCTAGGAAGCCTACTTGCTTCTTTAAGATCATGAGAACCTAGCTGACCTGAAAGCCACACTCAACACTCAATGCAACCTTGGCATTTTCTTCCTTAGATGGAAAACTTGTGAAGTTGGCTGATCCAAGAATAGATTCAAATTCTTCAGCCAAGAGTCTAGACCAACTGACTTTTTCCACCTTGTTGCCTAGTAAGTACTCTCTCCTACCCTTTCTTTTGCAGTGGTCTGAGGGTGAAAGGTGAAGGGAGGGCTTTACCACTGCAGATACATACAGGTAGTGGCGATGAACACACTGGGAGGGGAAGTCAGTCCACTTGTTGTTAATGAGTTAGAAATAATCATGCTTCTTCCAAAAAAACAGAGGGGACTTTTGATGTCTTTTGTCAGAACAAGTTAAACCAAGCAAAATGGTGAAGTCTGTGTGGACAGCCCTGGAACAGCTGCCATACATTATTCCACGTAGTGCTCTCCATAGTTGTTTGGACCATGAAAAGATGTCCTTGGGGGGTGTAAGTTCACGCGTGATATATAACAAATACAGAGGTAGCCTCATGTGTTAAACATGTTTTTCTTGCTGAGGGAATCAGAAAACTGGTTAGTCACTGGAATAAACATGCTCTGATGAATTGAATGAAAACTAGCATATGAGTCTATTTTTGGAATAAACATTTTTAGAGCATATTTCAGTACACCTTAGTTATGCCTTTCTTTAATTAAAAATACTTTGATAAAATGGAAAGGCCAAGTAATATCATAGTGTTAGAAATGAAGGACTCTAATTATTAAGGCCCCTGTGACCCAGAGTGAAGAAATCGATCCCAGGTCACCTAAAGGTGAAAGGAATTGATTTTTTTTTTTTTTTTTTTTTTTTTTTTGAGACAGAGTCTCTCTGTCACCCAGGCTGGAGTGCAGTGGCTGGATCTCAGCTCACTGCAAGCTCCGCCTCCCGGGTTCATGCTATTCTCCTGCCTCAGCCTCCTGAGTAGCTGGGACTACAGGCGCCCGCCACCTCGCCCAGCTAGTTTTTTGTATTTTTTAGTAGAGACGGGGTTTCACCGTGTTAGCCAGGATGGTCTCAATCTCCTGACCTCGTGATCCGCCCATCTTGGTCTCCCAAAGTGCTGGGATTACAGGCCTGAGCCACCGCGCCTGGCCTGAATTGGTATTTTAAAGAGAGAAATGTAAGTTTCCTGAATTGGTTTTAAAATTCAACATCAGTGATTATAAAATTGGCTTTGATACTATGTCCAGTTAAGGAAGTCAGACTGTGAGTGAAGGCATAAAGAAGACAGGGACAGGGACAGGGAAACAGAGAGAGGGAGAGAGGGATCGATTGATCAAAGCACATTCACACATCTCTCCTCAATGTATCCTCCCAATAGTCCCGTGAAGTTCCGTAATGCAATCTCCATGTAGTGGGTGGAAACTTACTCTTATAACAGCTGCATCAGAATTTGTTTCTGGGAAGGAAGGGTTGGAGTTTAGGAATATACCTACAGAAGAGTCTTGGGGATGGGAGGCAAGGCTCAGAGCAGGTTTTAGAAAGAGGTACTAAGGAGATGGCTAGATTTTGCAGCTTAAGAAAGGAACAGCTTTTGGGGAGAGGATGGGAGAGGGAGGGATGGGAGAGGAGGTAAACAAGGGAAGAAAATGGTTTGGGCAACAGGGTCAGGGGAAGATGTGTTACTGCTAGCGAGGGTTGGGGAGGCAAGATGGGGCTTCAGAACAAGGATGTGTGATGTTCAACTTTAAGTCATGGGCATTGATGGGATCTGAAGCTCATATGGCCCCGACTAAAGCCTCAGCTGAAACTTGGAAGTGAACATGAGAATACAACCCCCTCAGAATTATCAGAAATATTGGGGATGGACTTTGGGTTTTCCCACAGGATGGGGAGTAGGGAACAGAGCAAATTTTATTTAAATCTTCAAAGACAGAGTGAACTTGGCTAACATCTAGGTTATAATTAACCAAGGATGACATTAAGACTTGGAGAAAGTAAAGGACCTGGCTCAGGGCAACACAGTAAGTACCAAGGCTGCAATTTGAACTCAGGTCTCTTGACCCCAGACTTGTTATTTTACTGTTACCCCTACCATTCTGGTGGGGACAGAGACAGAGAGAGAGCTCCTTGCAAAGTCAGATCTGAGGCTGGCTGAGATGCAAGTTGGGTATTTTGCATATTTTGCTGGTGTGTTAGGCTGTGTTTTCACAAGCTCAGACTGAAAATGGGGATATTAGGAGTTGCTATTTGCCCTAGAGGCACAATGGCAGCAAGAGACATCTCTGAAATAGCACCCTGCTTTTCTCCTGGGAGAATGAGGAGCTTGCCTCTCTCACTTCCATGGGAATCCATCACAGCCCCTGTTATCCTTGCACTCAGGCACCCTCACCTTTCCAAAAGGCTTTGCATCCCTGATCTCTTGACTTTCCACAGTGGGAGCCTCAGAACTGAGCAACTCAGCCTTTATGTAAGTTGTGAGCTCTTATTTGTTTAAAGAAACATCCCTGTATGCGCCATGCACCAGGTGCCATAGCACATTCATAGGTCTCAGGGGTTAGGATGTGGACATCTTTGGTGGGGCCATGATTCTGGCCACCATACAGCCCTACCCTGTGGCTGGCATGGAGGATCTCCTGAGCTCTCTAAACAGTATGGTGAGTGTGGCATGACTGCAAGGAGGGCTTCTTTCTGATGTCTGGTCTCCATGGACTCTGGCCTATCCATAAAGACCACAAAGATGGAAAAGATCTTGTCAATGCTGTTGGATGTGGTTGAAAATGTTCTTTCTGCTGCATCTGAGAAGTGACAGCATGCTTTGCTGGCTGGCATGGTTCTAGGATTTTACCCCACAAATCTGACCACAGACATCTGGAGTCCTAAAGAGTTAGAAAAATCTGTAAGGTTGAATGCAAAAGTTTGAAAGCCTTTATTTTGAGCCCTCATTGATCATAATTACCTTTGAACAGCAACCACTGCAGAGAATGAAAGAATATTTGGGGCTGATTGAGTGAAGTAGTGTAAGATTCTAAGCAGGGGCAGATTTGGCCAGCAGTGCGGGAAAAAAAAAAAAAAGGCCCTGTGAGAGATCACACCGTCTTCTTATTTTGCTGCAACTTACAGGTAGCCCTGCCCAATCCCCAAAATACGCCCTTATGGTTCCCAGGCAAACCACAGGAGGTGGCATCGGTCCTCTCAGGAGTGACCTAGCAATGCTGAGGTCCTAAGGCGGACCTGTCCATGTTGCCAGGCTGGGCTAGCTTGGAGGCTGCCTTGGCATGAGCATGCAGGCAGACAGATGCTGATGCCACTTCAAAGAACCGCCCCTCCAGGTGCCGAGGGCGGCTTTTCTGATGCTCATGCTGTGTCATTGTTTATTTTCATAAGGCTCCCAGCTGCTGCGGTGATGATATTTATATCAATAAGTGCTCTATTCATCTGCCGGTTTCAGGGAATGCTTGCCAGCTGCATATGGCAGCCAACCTCAGGGTACTTCTGAGCCTGATGTTTTTGCATTTAGAATATCAGTTTTCAACTCTGTACCAACATCTGGGCCTGAAAGATTCTTCATTCACCCAGGACCCACCCTGAAAGGGGGAGCTATAGCCAATGACCTTGATCTTTGTTTCAAGATTTTATATGTCCCAAAGTGAAGTTCTTTGAAAGTCATCCTCTGTGCCTGAGCTCTGGTTTTGCAGAAAGGGATGTTGAAAAAGAGAAGAGCAAACAGTGTTTTGCAGGCCAGACTTCACACCTAGGCTCATGAGCTGAGTTCACTGTTTTATTTCTTCAGCCAAAAGCATAGGGTGGTGATGCCTTTGGACTCCAAAACTCCGCAGGGAATGTTCCAGAACTCTGTTTTATGAGAATTCATTCATTTTTTATAGTTATCTCAGTTTCTAACCTTCTATTGCTCAGGCCCCAATCCTTGGAATTATCCTTCATTCCTCCTTTTTTTTTGGACAGGGTCTTACTCTGTCACCCTAGTTAGAGTGCAGTGGTGTGATCACAGCTCTCTGCAGCTTTGATCTCCTAGGCTCAAGTAATCCTGCCTCAGCCTCCCAAGTAGCTAGGATTACAGGCATGGAGCACCATGCCCAGTTCATTTAAAATTATTTTGTAGGGCTGGGCGCAGTGGCTCATGCCTGTAATCCCAGCACTTTGGGAGGCCAAGATCAGCAGATCACCTGAGGTCAGGAGATTGAGACCAGTCTGGCCAACATTGTGAAACCCCATCTCTACTAAAAATACAAAAATTATCTGGCTGTGGTGGCTCACGTCTGTAATCCCAGCTACTTGGGAGGCTGAGGCAGGAGAATCGCTTCAACCCAGGAGGTGGCAGTGAGTTGAGATCGCACCACTGTACTCCAGCCTGGGCAACAGAGTGAGACTCCATCTCAAAAAAAAAAAAATTATTTTGTAGAGACAGGGTGTTACTGTGTTGTCCAGGATGGTCTTTTACTTGTGGCCTCAACTCCTGGTCTCAAGTGATAAGTGCTAAGTAAGATTACAGGCACGCCTGGTCCTTGATTCCTCTTTCTCTCTCTTATTCCATAGTCAATCTATCTGGATGTGTTGTTGGCTTTACCTTCAGAATCCATTCCATTGCTAACTTCCGGTTCAACCAACCTCACCTGCCACCTGCATTATCACAGTAGTCTCTTGTCTGTTCTCTCTGCTTCCATTTCAGAAACCACTCTTCCCCATCCTTGCACCAACAATCTATTCTCAACACAGCAGCCAGAGGGATGCTTTTATTAAAAAAGGCAAATTATGTTGCTCCTCTGCTTCAAACATGTGCATGGCTCTCTGTTTCTCTGAGAATGAAAGCCCAAGTTCTTCTATGTCTTCCATGGCCCTCTGACCTCACCTTCCACTGCTTTCCCCACAGTTGTGCTGCTCTGCCACTGCTCTGCCCATGGCCTTTGTGCTGTTCCTCAAGGGCACCAGGTGCATGCCTACCCTGCAGCCTGGGTGCAGGTGTTCCCTCTGCCCGCGATGCCCCCTGAGAGTCACATGGCTCATTCACCTCCTTCAGGTCTGTGTTCAAATGTTTTCTTCTCCATAGGGCCCACCTTGACAATCCTATTGCAGTGACATCCTATGTCCCAGATCCAGCATTCTGATCTTTACTACCCTGTCCTCTTACCTTTTTCCAAACACTCGTGTCACCTTCTAACTTATAATTGAGCACATTAGAGAGTGTGTGTTGCTTATTATCTGTCTCCCCCTTTAGAATAGAAGTTGCATGAGAGATGGGAATTTTTTTTTATGCCTCTCTTTGTCTGTGTTGCTCAGTGATGCATTCCAAGCACCTAGAATAGCTTCCAGCAAATAGCAGATGCCCAACAAATATGGGTTGCCTGAATCAATGTGAATCAATGGACTCTCTCCGGAACGTCTCTCACAGGCACATCCCAAGGTGCACTCAATTTCATCCCCTGCTCATCTGCTCTTCTCACTGCCTTCCCCCACCTTCCTGCCTTTCATATTTTCACCAGTTATATCTCCGGATGCCTAATTGCCCAGACTCAACATCCTGCCATTTTCTGCAACTTTCCTTCTCATTCACCTCCCACCTGCACCTGCTCCCTAAACCTTGTGGACTTAAGTCTGGAAATGTTTTCATGATCAATTCCAATCCTCTCACCTCCTGGCCACTTCTGCAGTTCAGATAACTACCTTTATTTTCTGCATATTTGCAGCATTCTCCTCCCCGGTCTCCTGGTTTGCACATCTTTCCTCCGGCTTGTTACCTGCACTGATCCCCAGACCTGGCTTTCTTTTTATTCTTACCTTTTTTTTTGCGTTTTTTAAATTTATTTTTTAAGAGATGGGGTCAGCCAGATGCGGTGGCTCACACCTGTAATCCCAGCACTTTGGGAGGCCGAGGTAGGTGGAACACTTGTGATCAAGAGTTTGAGACCAGCCTGGCCAATATGGTGAAACTCCGTCTCTACTAAAAATACAAAAATTTGCCAGGCGTGTTGGCACACGCCTGTAATCCCAGCTACATGGGAGGCTGAGGCATGAGAATCGCTCAAACCTGGGGGGGCGGAGGTTGCAGTGAGCCAAGATTGCACCACTGCACTCCAGTCAGGATGACAAAAAAAAAGGGAGATGGGTTCTTGCACTGTCACCCAGGCTGGAATGCAGTGGCGGGATCATAGCTCACTTTAGCCTTGCAGTGCCCAAGCAGTCCTCCTGCCTCAGCCTCCTGAGTAACTGGGACTATAGACACACAGCACCATGCCTGGCTAATTTTTTTTTTTTTTTTATAGACAGGGTCTCATGGTGTTGCCCAGGCTGGGCATGAACTCCTGGCCTCAAGCAGTCCTCCTGCCTTGGCCTCCCATAGTGCTGGGATTACAGGCATGAGCCACCATGCCCAGCCTCTAGACCCAACTTCCTAACAGGAACCCTGGCTATGTTATACCACTGTTGACCCTCCAGTGTTTCACCTTCCTGCATAGAAAGTATTTCTAACTGTGCTACTCCAAACTCCAGCGGTCCCACAAAGGACCGACCCCTCCAGGGGCACAGGAGAAAATGAGAGAGCAGTGTGGGTGGAACCCCAGCCCCTGCCTATTGCTTCATCATGAGCAGCTCTTGGTCATTGCTGTTTCATACATTGGGCTTGCATGAAAGCTTTTATTCATAGAAAGGATTCTGTTGCTTAACAAAGCAAAAGTCTGATGCTTGCTATGCTGCCAACCAAGATCCAAGCTCCTTAGCCTGGCACAGGGAGCTCTCTGCAAGCTGGGCTCTGCTACATTTTTCAGCCTCACTACATTCGTCTCCTCCTGATATTCCCCTAAGCCCCAGCCACACTGGAACATAAACTGTTCTGCAAATAAGTCTACGTATATTCTTCCCCTGCCTCACCTTTTCCTGTGCTGTTCCCTCTGCCTGAAATGCCTTTTCCCAGTGAGTTCAGCCTCCATATACCTAAAGCTCCTCTGCCTTCTTCAAGGCCAAAGTCATCTTCTTTTTGAAATCTTCCCTAACCCTCTGGGCAGAATTAATTGCTCCCTGCTCCTGGCCAACACAGCACTTCGCTGCTGACCTCTATTATAACACAGCCACACGAGGTTGGGACAATTTGCTCATCTGTCTCTGGAGCAAGACCATGAGCTTTTGCAGGGCTGGAACTATAGCTTGGGTCTGTTTAAAAATTTTTAAAGGCCGGGCGCGGTGGCTCACGCCTGTAATCCCAGCACTTTGGGAGGCCGAGGCGGGCGGATCACAAGGTCAGGAGATCGAGACCATGGTGAAACCCCGTCTCTACTAAAAAATAGAAAAAAAGTCAGGAGATCGAGACCATGGTGAAACCCCGTCTCTACTAAAAATAGAAAAAAATTAGCCGGGCGCAGTGGCGGGCGCCTGTAGTCCTGTAGCTACTCTCGGGAGGCTGAGGTAGGAGAATGGCGTGAACCCGGGAGGCAGAGCTTGCAGTGAGTCAAGATTGCGCCTGCCACACTCCAGCCTGGGCGACAGAGCGAGACTCCGTCTCAACAAAAAAAAAAAAAAAAAAAAAAAAAAAAAAAAAAAATTTTTTAAATTCCCATCCAAGGCCTGCACAAGGCCAGTGCTCACACAGGAATGCGATGTTACTTTAAGTTTTATTCAAGGCAGTGAAAGGATAGATTTTTAAAAATCTGAAGGACCATTCTCACCTCTTCCACCCCAGAATGGCTGCCCTGGCATAGGGGTGCATTCACTGTCTTGAAGAAATCCAGAAACTGTCCCAAGATACATGTCCTGTGTCCTCAATATGGATATATGCTATAGGCATGTGATGCTAGGAGCTATCAGACCAGAGGGGGGCTAAGGCAGGAAGCCTGCTAGGACACGAAGGTCAACCGTGAGGAACTGGGGCTTGGTGAGAGGGTAAAGGGTCCAAGGTTCAAGTCCCAGGCTCTGTCTGCACAGGCTGCATTGCAGAAGGGGAAGGGAGGTGAGTGTGGCCAGGCATCTGGGTATTATTCAGGGCTGCAGGTGCTCAGTGCTGGGGGAGGCAGCCTCCTGGCTCTGCAAGATCTGTGTGCTTTGGAGCAAGACAATAATCAATGCTTGTGAGATGGAGCAACAGAGTCTGGTCCCAGGCGGGGAGCTGGACAAAGCCCATAGGCAAGGGGAGTCTTTGCTGGAGGTCTGGGGCGTGACAGGACCCTCTGTAAGCAGCAGAATGGCTTGCCTGATGCTCATGGCCAGACAGAGCTTATTACAAGACAGCTAGCTGGGGCAGATGTGGCAGGCACTGGCTGTTAAGGACTCTCCCTCCAGGTTTAGAGTATGGCCCCCCTGACCCACCTAGGGCTTGGCTCGGTCTCCTCCTACCTGGGCAGTGTCCATCTCATTCAGCATCACCACAGAGGAGCAGTTGTAATCAAACACCAGCCTCCAGAAGTCTGCCACGGTGTTGGGTAGAGGGTGCTGGGTGACCACGAAGGCGGCAGGTTGCTTGTGGCTCTGACAAAGGAATGACACAGGCTTTGTAAATTACACATCCATCAGCGATATTCTGATGATGATGAGGCCCGGACTGAGGCCAGAGGCTCCCGAGCCTGCCAAATAGATGATACAAAGCACCTGCCTGTTCTTTTATCTCTCCATGCCCTGGCGGCAAAGGGGACCTTCTCATAATGAACACATTCTCCTCCAAACTAAGACATTTCATTAGGAAAGTGTCACTGGGATGGGATTATCCAAATAAATTATTTATGCCTTGAGGCTCAGCAAATAATCATAATTACAATATGAAATGAAAGATTTCAGATGCAGATTTGTTGCTCTGCTGGTCAAGACACCTCTTGGGATATAAGGGATTGGCCGTGTCTCTGTGCCCATGATGCTGGGGGAGGTTTCGGGCCGGCTTGAGGCAGAGATTCTCCCAAAGGGGCAGGCTCCCTTCTGCCTCCAGGCTGGAATGAGGGGCTGAGCTGGCCTGGCAAGGTGGGCATTGTGTCCTATGAGTCAGCGGGGCAGTGGAAAGTACATATGTATTAAGTCAGGTCGACTTGGGGTTCAAGTACAGCTTTACCACTTGTAAGTTATGAGTCATCCATCTGTCCGTCCATTCACCCATTTATTCATCCATTCATTCATTCAGACTTCATTTGTAGAGTGCTTTTTTTTTTTTTTTTGGGCAGATTGGGTGCTAAGTACTGGCAAGTTATTAGATGATTCCAAAGCTCATATTCTTCACCTGGAAAACGGAAAGCATAAATCCAAAGGAATGATGTCACACAGATTGAATGAGATTTGCGTGTGAAGAGGCCAGCAAACAACAGCGGGAATGTAAGCCTACTGGCAGGGCAGAAACACCCCTGACTTTGTTTTACGTCCTTAGCACTGGTATTATTGCTGGCACATGCTAGACAGTGCCACTCCAGTGAATAAGACAATAAACTCAGTCCCATGTTGCAGATAGGGAAACAGAGGCCCAGAGAAAATGGCCTGGGGGTGTCTGGCAGCTTCAACCAGGGCCCTATTTTCCCCCCACCTTGAAGTCATGTGTTTGAAAAGATTGGGGAGATTCTCCCCTTCATCAGTGGCTCATGCGCTCGATATGTTTTCTCAAGAGATGGTTTCTGTGGGAGTCACAGCTGTTTTCAGTGGCGTTACAAGTGAGAGGAAAGAGGGCAAAGACCCTGGAAAAAGCAGGACAAAGCCTTGCAAACATGGATGTCATGCATGCATTGTCGGGGGGCGGGGGTTCTTCCGAGGGTGGTCTCCTGGCCAGTAGAATTTTCAGAAGAGGGGTCTGGGTGGACAGAAGCAAATAATTTATTTTCCAAAAGCCAAACTCTCTAGCTGTAGACGGCATCGTCTTTGAGCCATTTCCAGACATGGAAAAACATTGAGGCTTTGAGAGTTAACAGACTTGGCGCTCCAATCCTTGGCTCCCATTTCTGAGCTAGTTGACCTTGAACAAGTGATGAAAATACTCTGACCCTGAGGACCTCATCAGAAAATGGGGATGAGAACACCCACATGCAAAATGGGACAGTGCGATTCCAGGGCCCGACACGGTGCCCAGCACTCAGTGAATGTTAGTTTTCTTTTCTTTCTCCCTGTCTCTGTGATAAATGCTCTATTAGGCCAGCATGCCTGACAAAGCCTTATCTGAAAATATGTTCAAGATCCGTGCTCCTGCCGGGTTTCAGGGATCAGCCGGCAATCCATTTCATGGATAACATCATCCTTTACCAGGGGAAACATTAAAAATTAACCCAGAGGACTTCATATTTTTCTGCTAGGAGCAAAGCTGCTATGGTTACCAGATAATGCACCGACTGAGCTGGAATACAGATAAGGACTTTTTTTTTTTTTAAATATAAGAAAGGCAAAGGCCCCAGTGATGGCTCACAAGAGAAATGCCCTGTGGACAAAGAGAATACAGTCAGCCTCAGAGCTTGGCAGAAGGCGTTTGACTCCAGGCAGTATCTAACCTATTAAGTAGAGGCCAGGAGCTTGTTTGATCTTTGCCTGGATGAGGAAGGCAGGGAGGGGGTGTTGGGAGAAGTGGGAGACAAAGCTAGGAGGAACTTGGAAGTATGGGTGCACCCCTAGACCCCATTTCTCACCACACTCTCACACACAATGCACACTTACATGCACATACATGTACTACTCATTGACTTGAGAAGGCTCCACGCTAATGCCAAAGGTCTTCTCTCCACCTCTAGCTACTTGATATGACCAAGCCAAGACTCCCTGATTCTTACAGAGGATATGGGCACCCTGTGGGCAGACGCCAGGACAGGCCACTAGAGAGCTGCGACAGGCATTGACCTTCCTGCCTCTAACACCCAGACCCTTGGGGAGAAACTTCAAGAGGATTAGAGGTCAGAGAAGTTGTTGGCCTTGACCCCAGGTGAGAGCATCCCATGTTTCTGTCTATTCTGAGTGAGATAGGAGGGTCACATGTAGATGGATGGGAACTCAGATGGGCTGGGGAGGGGAAGCTGGAAGAGCCCATGATAATCAGGCAATGGTATTCTTGGTTTTGAGCCTCAGGAGGTGAGATGTTTGCATCTTATTAGATCCAGCAAATTGCGGGGAGGCTCAAGAAATGAGTTCCAGAGTGTTAAGGAGCTCTACGTGTGGGCTGTGCCACTAGCTCCCTGGGTGAAATTCAGCAAGTCTCTTTCTGGCCTCCGTTTTCTCTGCTGAAAAGTACATGGCTGGGAGTAGATGGTCCATAGTTTCTTCCTGCTGCAAACACCTGTACACCTTGGAGGGGAAGCGATATTCAGACGTATCCAAAAAACACAGGGGAGAAGCCTAGGCTCACTGGGCCAGGAACATGACCCTAATCCCAGAGCCGGGCAGGGTGCCGCCCCTTCCTGGACCTGATGACAAGAAAGCAGGGGGCACTGCCCCTAAAAGGACAGCCAGGAACACGGCCTGCTTCCACCCCATGCTTATTTTACTGCTTCCCACTACTTTCCCAATAACCATTTACTGAGCCCCTACTGTGTGCTATCCTCATTTTTGCCTCTGCACAGGAGTTATCTGGGAACCTTCATGGGAGTTACCAGAGGGCAGAACCTGTGTCTGCACTGTCTTGTGTTCCAAGGCCCAGCATAGAGAACACTTGTTTTACTAAACTTCAGGTTGAGAGTCAGCTGTGTGGGGAATGGAAGGGGTTGCTAGGCAGGCCTGTAGCCTTGCCATGGAGTCATGGGAGTCACCTTACACTTCTGGTCTGTTCTTTCTAGGCTCTTTATATGAGAAAAGGAGCCAAGAGCCCAGCTTGTGTCTAGGTTTGGACCAGAGTCTTCAGGGGAACAAAGGTCCTTAGGACCAGTAGATCAGAAGCAGGGAGGCTGGCTGGTGGGGTCAGGGCCCTGAGGTCCAGCCACCTCCACCTCAGGAAGAGTATTTGCTCTAGAATGTCAGCTAGGAGCTTTCTGCCCAGGCTCAGCTTACATCCATCAGTGCCGCGTTGATGTAATTGCTGGATTCTCCGTCCACCGAGATGAGGAAGGGCAGGCAGCGGTCCAGAGGCAGCACGTCCATACTTCGATTCTTATCATGGTTCCGGGGCAGGAGCCCAATGCTGCAGTCCTCGGGCCGCACACGGGGTGTCACAATGTTGAGGGTCTGTGGGGCACAAAGGTGAATAGATAGGCCTTGATCATACGGCTGCCCCGAGCAAAAGAGACAGTAATGTTCCAACTCAGCCTAACTTGCCTATTTCCACCCTCCAAGTTCAGCCCCACTGTCCCTTTCCCAGGACCCATTTCTCTTCCATGGTGATGTTCTGTCCTCTCCTGCTCACTGCTACAGGGTGCGTGAGCTGTGTGACACCTTCAAAACGCTAAGGCTGCAGAAGCAGCGCACGCACACAGAGGCTCAGACACAGTCTCGTGGTACCTGCCAACCAGAGGAACTAAGTGGTTCAGCTCAGCCAGTGTTGCATTAAAGGGTGGGCCAGCCAGGAGGGTGTACAGAGGGGCGGGGGTAGGAAATCCCTACTGAGGGCTAAACATCACTTGCATTGTCATGGAATGGGGGAAATGATTTACCAGCACTCTTCTCAGAGAGAAAGCTGTCTGAGTATGGAAGGAGGCCTAGATGAACTGCTCAGGATAGATGAGAGACCCCCAAAGGGCAAACCCTAATATGTCTGGGAAATTGCTGTGTTTGGGTTCTGGTTTGAGGCCAGAGCTGAACTGCTCTATCCAATGGACTAGATGTTACATGCAATGACTAGAGTTCTGTACCCTCCATCCTTCCGTCATTCAGCCCTCTGTCTCTAATTCAAATCAATAATGGTTATTTGTTTTAGGGATTGCTAAGGTATTGGCCTGCCTGGGATATCTGCCCGTGGAACAATGGGCCTGGCATTTGCCCACTGACTTGAAGCAAGACCTGGAGCTTCCTTGCTTTCTCATACCTCGTTCTCAGCTCCTATTGCCCAGGTGTAACCCTGACACTGGTCTTGCGATAAAGGGCTGGACTCTGGCTTTACCTTACTTAGTGATTCCTGTCCAGGCTTCTTAGACCAATCAATGTTGCCACAGCGCTGACCATACGGGCTTCCAGGTGAGGATCTTATTTATTTTTTATTATACTTTAATTTCTAGGGTACATGTGCACAACGTGCAGGTTTGTTACATACGTATACATGTGCCATGTTGGTGTGCTGCACCCATTAACTCATCATTTACATTAGGTATAGCTCCTAATGCTATTTTCTTTTTTTTTTTTTTTAAGATGGAGTCTCACTCTGTTGCCCAGGCTGTAGTTCAGTGGCACGATCTCGGCTCACTGCAACCTCTGCCTCCCAGGTTCAAGCAAGTCTCCTGCCTCAGCCTCCTGAGTACCTGGGATTACAGGAGCATGCCACCATGCCTGGTTAATTTGTTTTGTATTTTTAGTAGAGACAAGGTTTCACCATGTTGGTCAGACTGCAGACCACACTTTTAGCAGTAATAGTCTACTGAAAAAATACTGAGAGGACCTGAGTCCTTCCAGGGATGAAGGAGCATGAAATTCACACCCGTTTGTATAAGTTTGTCTCCATTCACAACTTGGACTAGAACTGAATAAGACTTCAGTTAAAAAACATATTCACAGTTAAAGACAAGCACCAGCAATCCCTGAGTGCGTCGTTGCTCATGGCTGTGCATTTTGTGTTCTGGAATAGATTCTGCAGCTTCCTAGAGGAGCAGACACTGAAAGTGCATAGACATATCAGTTGTCCCAAAGAAAACCCCACAAATGTGCACAGAGCCACTGAAGTTGGTTGGGTTACTATTACGGACTAAATGTTTTCATCCCTCCCAAAATCCATGTCGTAATCTTAGCCCCCAGTGTGATGGTATTAGGAGGTTGGGACTTCGGAAGATGTTTAGGTCATGAACATAGAACCCTCATGAACGTGGGATTACTGCTCTTATAAGAAGAAACATGTAGGGCCAGGTGTGGTAGCTCACGCCTGTAATCCCAACAATTTGGGAGACCAAGGTGGGAGGACTGCTTGAACCTGGGAGGACTGCTTGAACCCAGGATTTGAAGACCATCCTGGCCAACGCAGTGAGACCCTATCTCTATAAAAAATAAAAAAAGAAGAAACATGAGAGCTTGCTGCTTCTGCTTTCCACCATGTGAATATGCAGTGAGAAGATGGCTATCTGAAAGACAGGAAGTGAGCCCTCCCCAGACACTGGATTTACTGGAAGCTTGATATTGGACTTCTCAGCCTCCAGAAATGTAATAAATAAATGTCACTTAAACCACCGAATCTATGGAAATTTGTTATAACAACCCAAACTGACTAAGATGGTCACCTAGCCTGGGATTTGCTCATACCTGAAATTCATCTTTGATTTGGCTGGAGTTCGTCTGGGGGTCCAGCCTGCTGATATTATAGTAGAGAGAACGGAACTCACACACAGGGATGGCAGTGTTGCCACAGAGGCACGCTTCCAGGATGGCATCGTGCACAAACACATATTGCTCCTGCAAAGTCAGAAAAGAGGGAATGAGGTGCCAGGTAAGAACAGTGGCCTGGGAATTTGTGGTCCACATTTAGTATTGTGGCTATGAAGAATAGACACTTGTCAATATATTGTGGAATCCCTACTTTTTATACTGTAACCCAAAGGACCAACTTTCCACGTTTCCTAATGATCACCTGAACTATGGTGGGTCTTGTTTCTTACAGAAGATGTAATAGCATAGTCACTGATAAAATGAGAAACTTCTAGACATGCTGTAGCAGGTGCTCTTTGTGTCCAGCCCATGTCCCCTCAGCTTTCACCTTTACCTAAGGAAGGCTGCTTGCTGCAAACACCTGTAATACTCTGCTGAAGGCAGAGAGGATACTTGGGCTGTATGGAAAGTAACCCTCAAGCAGTGACAGAGAGTTGAGGACGGAAATCTAAGTTCCTTCTCCCTTTAGGTGGAATCACTTGGACACGCATGTGTCTCAGAGTTCCCAGCAGAATTGGGTTCCAGTTGTCTACAGTGTTGAACAGCTTGTTAAAGTAGCCTTTGTTTGTTTCCTTCCCTGCTCTGCCTCACTTTCCCACTCACCAGCCAGTGTGTCTTGGGATTACCTTCCAAGCAAATTATTTGCCTGCAAATCTTTGTCTCACAATCTGCTCCTAAAACATGTGTCATGTCTTCTCCTATCTCAATTATTTGTACCTGCTGTTCTCTCCTCCTGAAACTCCACTCCCTCTTTTCCATACCTTTAATGTTTCATTCTTTCTGGAAGACCATCTGTTAATCCACCAGGCAGAAGTTGGTGTCACTTCTAGGCCCTAGATAAATGTTTGTTGAGTGACCTTTTCTGCAGAACTTGGTCAGTTTCTCTATAAAGTGTGCTTTTCCAGATGCAACGTGATGCATCTGCATTTGAATATGTCTGTCTCCTCATCTGTCTGACTGCAACCGGCAAGCCTGCCTTCTGCATGCATGAACCTGGGAATAGATAAAGCAGCCCTCTTGGCTTTAGTGCTAGAAGCCTGAAGACTGGCCTGTGTGAGTTAGCTCAGAGCCTATGTGTGTAAACCAATCAGTGGTGGTATTCACTGCAGAGTCAGAGGGGCTGGCTGTACCAAAGCCATGGGTCACTTCCCTTTGCAGGATTGATGATGTACACAGTTCCTTATCTGTCCCAGTTCTGACTGCCCAAGCACCCAGAGCCTTCACTAGAAAAGCAGATGGGCTCATTATGGGAATGATAAGCCAAGGCACGGAGTGGGATAGGCAGAAAAGGCTGCTTAGTGAGAATGTGGTTCTGGCAAAAAAGCAGAGGCCTTTGGGGTCACATGGACCCAAGTTCTCCCACAGTCTGGTATGTGAGGTCTTAGGGACACAATTTCTTAGTTTCTTCTTCATTGATAAATTGGAGATAATACTAGGAGTTACACCACAGCTGTTTTGGAGGAGTAGAAACACTACCGCGACTAGAAAGAATGTATGCTGCCTGGCTCACAGTAGGTACACAACAATAAAGATTAATTCCTTTCAGTACTCTTAGGTCTGGGCTCTCTAATTGCACAGAGAAGTGCTGAAGGTCTGCTTCTCCCTTGAGGGCAGGGGCTGTGTATTACGTCTCTTGAAATCCCCAGCACCCAGCCTAAGTACTCAGTTACTTTGTTGATTAAACCATTCCCTGCAGTGACTGAACCATCGCTTGGCACGTAGTGGTCACTGAATAAATGCCAGTCCTTCTCTTTCTTTCTCTATCACTTCACCCAAGGTGAGAATGCTATTCAAATAATCGCCGAAATTTGTCATTCTGTCCTTGCTTGGATGGCCTCAGAGATGGAGAACTCGCCACCATTCTTCATTGGTGGAACTCCCTGCACTGTAGACCTCCAGGGTTGGCTGGGGCACCCTAGCTTCCACAGTAGTCTCTCCATAGTAAGCCACGAGTCTACTCCCTCCCGCTTCTCTCACACCCTTTCCATAGGTTGCCCCTACCTATGGGTCTCTCAGTTCTATCATGTTTCTCCTTGGTCAGGGCTACAGGTGGCCAACGGTCTTGGTCCCTTAGGACTCACCTCTGTCTGTACCAGGTTGACCCTCTGGGCCCGGAGCTCACGCACGCAGTTGAAGATGTCCACCACCCCTTCATTCTCGGCCATGTCAAGCATGGTGTCAATGGCAATGAAGCAGCCAGTCCGCCCAGCCCCGGCACTGGAAGAGAGGTATGGATCTTTGTTAAGGATCTTTGCAGGGGGACCTGCCCTGGGGAGGCCCCTAGCATTCAGCCCTATCCCCAAGGGTCCTGCTGAGAGGCCATATACAGCAGAAGTCAGACAGAACTGGCTGAATCCCAACGTTCCTGGGGGATCTTGAGTAAGCATCTAAACTTAGACTAAGCCCCAGCAGTCTCCTTTGTAAAATGAGAGAGTAGTGCTGGTCTCTGAGGGCTATTTTATCAGGACTGACTTATTTTAATGTAGTCATTTAGCAAAGGTTTATTCAGGGCTTACAAAATGCCATTGTTCTACGTGCTTTATAAATGTTACCTATAGATTTCCCTGTGAGGTTAAGAAGTTTCTCATCCCATTTCACAGGTGAGAAAACAGGCATAGAGGGCTTACCTTGCCTGGCCGAGGTCACACAGCTGGCAAGTGGTAGAGCTGGAACTTTTACCCCAGCAGTCTGGCTCCAGATTATGTGTTCCCACATTTCCTTTCTTAATATGCATAGTTTGTAATGCATGCGCAAACCACACATATACATGCCATTTCCTTGTCTGATGGATAAAATAATACATCTATATAGCATAAAACACCTAGCATGGTTCCTGGCATGCTGGAGATGTCTCATAGACATGTCTTTCCTATTTTCTACCCTTTTCTCCTCTTTTTTCTTCTTCAGCAAATGGGTTGATGGATGGAAGCAGAGAAGGAGAGGAGAGAGAACAGAGGGGAGGTGAATGATAGGACAGAAACTAGAGTTCTCCGAGCTGCGCCCAAGATGGAGAGTGGTTGGTGGAGCACAATGTTCAAAGGCCAGCATCTGGCTCCACCTGCGGCTGTTTTCCCAGGATCATGACGCAAGAGCGTCATGAAACTGGAGCAGCTGACCGTCCAGAGACCCTTGTCAGGAATCAAATTTCCTAATACATACTTGATTTCTGGTCACTAGTGGCTTCTTTAGGAGAACCTTAGACCAAGTACAAAATAGCAGAGGAACTCAACGAGACTCTATGGGCCTTGGCCAGCCCTTTCTAGATGAGTGCTGGGCTCTGAAACATCACTGCCAACCAAGAGGCACATAAGACATGTGCCTCACACATGTGCAGTTTTGGATGGGAAGGCCAGGCAGCCTGTCAAGGAGGCCCCCTTCCACTGCGTTTTCACATCTTGTATTTCTCATGGAAACAAGCGTCTTTGTCTAACAATGTGGATGTCAAAAGAAACACAAAGAGGAAGAGAGATGGAACAAAACAAAAAAGCAATATTGGCTGATTATAAATCCAAGGAGCACAGGCCAGCGCGGACCACTATCTACAACAATTTGGAAAGTACACCCATTGGAAACAGAATCTTCATTCATGAGAAAATTTCATGGTTTAAGTTTGCTTCAGAACCTACTCCCCAAAATCCAGATGTGGTGACTCAAGAGACTCGGCCTCTGTGTCTGGGAGGGAATATAGGGGGTCCCTCATGTGTTTTTTCTTCAATGTTCATATTCAGCATGCTTTAGTATGAAGAACCAGCCCAATTTGGTTCTGAATTTTGGAACTATCAGTGGTGACCAAGTTGCCTAGTGTCCGTTAGCTTCAGACTTCTGATGCATTTAACATACCTCCCTGCAGGGTCCTTGTGAAGACAGCTGTGTTTATTTCAGCATCACATAGTAATCAAACACAGGGTATTTGAAGAGACCCCTAGGATTAAATCCTGGCTGTCTTACTTACTAGCTGCGTGACCTTGGGCAAACGACTTAACCTCTCTGGGTTTCAATACTCATCTATAAAATGATGTTAATAATTAATAGATCTACCTCACAGCATTAATAGCCTAATATGTATAAATTGCATGGAATTACAATTAAAATGCATAATGCATACACATTGCTTTGTGCCTGGATACATAATAATTTCTCAATAAATAATGGCTATTATATTCAATAAATATTTATTGAAAATGTAAGATGCAGTAGATGCTGGGATTAGGAGTGGGAATATGAAAACATTGTTCCTTTCCTGAAGGATTAATAATCTGGGGAGGGGGAGAAGACATTAAGAGGCAGAGAATAATGATACATTAGAGTGCTCACTACATGTCAGGCATTCTCTCTTAGGCACTTAGTACACTTAGCCAACCCATTTGTTAATAATTTTCAGAACAGACCTAGGAGTGGGTACCACTCTGCTCAGATGCATTAAGATGACCTGCTATGGAGATACATAAGGCCTTAGAGCCATCATGCACAGAGGGCCTGATAAACATTTGCCATTGTCTTTCTTTCTCCCTAACTCTTGATCTGGGTGCTCTTTGGGATATAGAGATGGGGGGATTAATGATCTATTGTCCTTCGATTGCTGTGAGATATAAAGCAGAGAATACATGCAAAACACTTAGAGAGTCCAGGATTACCTCCTCATCCTCACTTGCCTTATCTGTGAAATGGGGTTGTGTAGCTACTATTGCTGGGAAGATAAATGGATGCTGTATGAGGATGGGGCTGGCTCTGAGACATCCACAGCTTATAGGGTCTTCCGTGGTCTCTTGACTGACACAAACTGCCAGGGAAGGGATGTGATAACTCAAGCATCCAAGGTCTGAAAAGATGGGCTGGCCCAAGGTCATATTGGAAGAGAGGCAATGGGAAGGAGGGGGATGCCAGCTGGCCGGGCTTCGGGTCAGGAAGGCCATCCTCCTCCAATTCTGAACACCCCTGACATGATACTTCATCTCCATTTGGGAGGATTCGAAGACGTGCCACTCATTCTCAATGTGACTTTCTAGGTCAGACCTGAAAATCTCTCTTCTCCATAATAAGGTAAAACCTGGTGCTGTCCATTTCTCTCTATGAGGGACCCTGCAGGCTGGCAATTGATTTTGAAAATAATAGAAATGAAAAGAAGCATGCTTCCACCAAGGCACCCTGCTGCCATGTCAAGGAGCTGAGGGCGAGTGTCTGGAGAAAAGCAGGTGAAATATTCCCACTCTGTGTTTACCTTCTCAGCACTTGAGTTTTTGTATATGTAAAATGGAATGATAATAATGCCCACCTCTCAAGACTGGATGAGAAGTAAATTAAATAATGTGGGTAAAGTGCACATGACAGACCCAGCAGATGCTGCCAGTGTTCAGCCTGCCTCCCTGGTGACCTCACTGTTTTCAGACAACAACAACAACAATGGCCACTACTGCTCTTCCTCTTGTTAGTTGACCTTGTGACCAAGTCTCATCAGAAAGCATGGGGCATGGGGGACACAGGAAGAGGAGTCTCTAAGAATAAAGCCACTAGAAAAGATAGCATGTCCCTCCCAAGAAAGCTGAGGTGCAGAGGCACACTAGGGTAGGTGGAGGAATTTTTTTTTTTTTTTTTTTTTTTTTTTTTGAGACAGTCTCACTCTGTCACCCAGACTGGAGTGCAGTGGCACGATCTTGGCTCACTGCAACCTCCCCTCCTGGGTTCAAGCAATTCTCCTGCCTCAGTCTCCCAAGTAGCTGGGATTACAGGTGTGTGCCACCATGCCCAGCTAATTTTTTGCATCTTTAGTAGAGACAGAGTTTCACCATGTTGGCCAGGCTGGTCTCGAACTCCTGACCTCATGATCTGCCCGCCTCGGCCTCCCAAGGTGAAGGACCTTTGACTTACCTGCAGTGGACCACTATGGGCCCTGCTTCTGGTGGGTTGAGGAACTTGACCTGACGGACGAAGCCCAGAAGGCCAGTGGCGTAGCAGGGAACGCCGTGGTCAGGCCAGCTAGTGAAGTGGAAGAGGCGGAGCTCCCGGATCTCATGGTAGCCTTTCTGAGGAAAGAACAGGCCTCTGTTCTTCCAGCTGCTGCCCTCACATACCCAGCCCAGCAACACATGGAGCCACAGCTGCTGCACCGAGGAACCTCCAGCAGGGACAGGGCCCTCACAGTGTTAATAGGTGTTACTGCATAGAGCGATTCTGTGATCAGTTGCATTTGGGAAACATGGGATTGTTACAATGAAACTGATGGCTATATTACAGGACTTCTCAGAGTCTTGAGTGTGCTCATACACACTCTGCCTAGGGGTCCACAGAGCACCCTAGGAGACCTTCTTTTGTTTGCCTAGAGGGATGGTCTTTGACAAGTGTTTCATAGGAGGTGTATCGAGTAGAATGGATTTAAAGAAATGTTGGCCTTAAAGACCAAGTCCAAATTGTTTCCAGTGGAATCTGAGGCTTTCAGTGATTGAGGTCTGATGTTCTGTTGTGTTCCAGCCTTGACTATGATAGTCTGTGTGGCTTTCAAAATTTATATAACTTAGTAGACTTCTTTATTAATTAGATTCTTACTTAGAATGATTAGATAAGATACGAAACAAACAAAAGCAGAGCTTCTCTGATTGATGGAGACAGAGTGGGGCCTAGAGCTCTGAGCGGTTCCCCTCCCCTTTCACATTCCTCCACCCCTCACAGACATACACTCCAGGCCCAACAGTGGTTTTCTGACTATTCCCAGGTCAGATCACACTTCTAAGCCTTTGCTTAGACAGTTCCTGCTACCTACTATTTTTCTGCTTAGCAATCTCCTGCAGATACGCAGAGAGCACTGAATAGGAAGAGTCTGCTTGATTTTTCATTCCTTCAGTTAAAAATCATTTACCAAGTGTGACTTGTGCCCAGCCTTGTGCTAGGTACTAGGAAGGTGAGAATAAAAGCCATAGCTCCTATCCCTGGAACAGCTCATGGCCTTGTCGGGGAGGCAGATGCCCAAGTGGGTAATTCTGTTGAAGTGGATAAAGGAGTACCTGCTAACCTGATCTGAGGAGAGGAGAAATCAGAGAAGGCTTTCTGGAGGAGGTGATGCTTGACTTGAATCTTGAAACAAACTAATAGTGAAAATAATAGCTAACATTAACTAAGCATTTACTGTGTGTCAGTCACTCTTCTGAACACTTCAACATGCTAACTTATTTAATCCTGATATAAATCCCTATATTTTTATCTCCACTTGATGGATCAGGAAACTGAGGCTGAGCAAGGTTAAGTGACACACCCAAGGTCACAGTACAACTCATAAGTTGTAAAGAGATGATGTGAACCCTGGCTGTCTGTCTCCACAGTCTGCACTCTTAATCATTCTAATATACCGATGTGTGAGTATTACCCAGTTGACGGGAGAAGAGGAAGGGAATCCAAGGCAAGGGGACAGCATGGGCACAGGCCTGGGGACAGGGCTTAGCATGGCATGTGCAGAGAATCACTAGCAACCCAGGGCAATGCTAGAGGCAAGTGGAAGGCAGGCCATGGGGGACCACAGGCCTGGGGGTGTAGGAGAATAGATGAGAGCTGGATCCCAGAAGTCCTTGAATCTACATTAAGGCCTTTGGACTTTATCTCAAAGGCATTGGGAAGCTACAGGGAGATTACACAGATGGGTCCACACAAGAGGAAGTGCATCATTAGACTTGTATTTTAGGAGCCTGCATCCTGCTACATGAAGGATGGATTCAGGTGGGTGGATCGGGGGTTGCAGAGAGGGCACTATTGGTGCCTACTCAGATCCCCATCACTGGGTCAGTGGACTCATTGCCAGCTGCTCTGAGTCGTGGCTGTACACAGCTCACAGTTACCCTCTTCTGAAGAGGACTGTTCTCAGCTGAACAGGAACGCCCTCCCCGGGGGTGTGGCTGGGTGGGGCAGCATCCTCCAGCGACTGATAGTCGAGGGAGAATGACCAATTGGCTTGCCAGTTGCTCAGTCGGCCCAGGACTGAGGGGTTCCCCGGTACGCGGGACTTTCAGTGCTAAAACCAGTAATGTTCTGGGAAAAACATAAATTTTTTTTTACCCTAAGGGGGGCCCCTGAGGCCCCTTTGCTTCAAGGTTGGACCAAGTGTGCAGTACCATTCATGTTCCAGGGCTCTCATGGGTTCAGGTGGAAGCAAGTCTCTGCTGAGGCCACATCCTCACTCAGCTCCCTTCCCCACTCCGTCCTGGCTCTCTCACCGCCTTCCACCTGCAAACTCTCCCTCAACACATGAGCCAGGGCACCTAAACCCCTGCTGCTTCTGGCTCTGCTTCTGGGAAACCCAAACTAACATAGGGGCAGGACTAGAGGCAGACAGTCCTGTTAGGAGGGAGAAACCAGAGGCCCAGATTAAGGCCGTGATGGATGAGCTGAAGTGAGAGAGGAGAAACCTTCAAGAATACTTGGACTTTTTTCACGCCATCCTCCAAATCAATTCAGTCCCAAGAAGCCCTCCTTCGAGCTCTTCCCACCTGTGCTATGATGATTTATCAAGATCCTCTCTCCCTGATGTGACTGTGCTATCTTCAAGGGCAGACAGCACTCCCTGTTTATTATTTCCAGGTTCCCAGCTCAGGAACCGATTTTGAGCTAAAACCACAGGCAATGTTTGCTGAGTGCCTGCCTGCGTGCTATGGAGAGGCTGGCTAAGCCCAGTTAATCCTCAGAGGCCCTTGGGGTCTTTTAAGGGCATCTCCCTATGAGTAATATCTTCCCTAGTTGTTTAAAAGACAAAGAAAATGTAACCCAAGAAAGGACCATAATTCTTCAACATGGTTTGCTAGCTGCAATTCCTCAAGGCCTTCCTGCCCATGTCCCTAGTCACTCATCCCATCCTCGGGCATCCAACACAGATGTGACAGATGAAACTGGTATCCCACCTGGGTCCTCTTCCTTGGGCCTGTGCTCTCAGCTGCAGGAACTGTTGGTTGCTACTGCCTCCCAATTGTCCCCTTCTCTGGAGACATGCCCTCAGTTGACAGGGGCTGGCCTACCCTGGAGGTTACCCCTCAGTGGATGGTCCACAGTCAGCAGACTGACTTATGTGGGAGCACAGAAGTCTGGCTTCCTTGCCTTAAGGGGGACAACTCTGTGGCATGGTTTATCCTTGGAGGTTCCCTGTGGATTGCCTCTAGGCTAGACTTCACTGGAGCCTCTGCCCTTGGTTGGTGTCTTTCCTTCCCTCTCCTGCTTCCCACTGTCTTAGGAATTTTTCCTGGGAGAGCTCCCTTGATATACCTTATGTTCCTGAATCCTTGCCTCAGGCTCTGCTTCTAAAAACCCTGACCTAAGGCAACATCGAAGTCCCAATGGTTTCCTTCCTCCTAGTGCAGGGAGTTCACAGGCTTCTTGACTTTTTCACCCAAGACTGCGGACTCAGATGAAAAAGACCCTGAGACTTTAGGAGTCTGGGGGTTGGAGTGGGAGCTTCTGGGGGCAAACAGTATGTCCTAGGCCACTTTATATGCTGGAACAGTACTGTGTGCATGCCGGGCTCTAGTCTGCAGAGCAGCCTATTTTGGCCCTTGCAAGGACTTGTCTAAGCCTCAAGGGCACAGCTCTCAAAGCATGTAAGTCCCCAGTGCTTTTGCATCCTCAGGCCTGTGGCCATGTTGTCTACTAAAGTGGCTGGTTTTAGAGGAATGGAACCTGTGGTGTAATGGAAAGAGAAGTGTGTTACAGGGGCCAAGGTGTGATTCCTGGTTCTACCAGCCTTGCAGCTGGGCAACTTTGGACAACTGATTTAAACTCTCTGTGTCTCAGTTTCTTCATCTGCAAAATGGGGATAATAATAGCTCTTACCTTATAGGGTTGCTGGGAGGATTAACTGAGTTACTCTATGCAAAACATTTAGAAAAGTACCTGGTTCAGTAAGTGCTCAGTAAATGTTAGCTATCATTACAATATAATAGTAATGACAGAATAGCAATGATTATATAATAAGTTATAAATATATGTATTATTATTTGCAATCACATTCTTGCTCACCAAGCTTTTACAGCCCTGGCCTCCTTTTAATGTCTAGATCAGCATTTTTCAATCTCGACACTACTGATGCCTTGGGCTGGAAAATCCTTTGTTATCGGGGGCTGTCCTGTGCATTGTGGAATATTTATACGCATCTCTGGCCTCTACCCACTAGGTGCCAGTACCATCCTAACCCTTCTCCCCCAAGTTGTGTCAACCAAAAATGTTGCCAGACATTTACAAATATTCCTTGGGGGATCAAAATGCCCCCAGTTGAGACCACAGGCCTTGAACAGCTTGAGATCATTTTTTTTCCCCCTCCAGACTGCATGGTTTTTCCCTCTGCCTGGGATAGCTCTTCTTTCCTTTCTACCCTGCACTGGTTCCTCCTCCTTCATTCTCTGCCCAAACGCCTCCTCCACTAAGAGGCCCTCTCCCACCAACCCCATCCTCCTGTGGATTTCTATCTCCATCCTTTGCATATTCCTGTGTGACTTTTATCACAATGCGTTGTTATTTCATGGACTTGCTTATTGAATTCAGTTTGTCCAGCCTACTAGATGTGGGATCCATGGTAGCAGGATCCATGTCTGCCCTGATTGCTGATCTGTTGCTGGTGCCAAGCATGGGGCTGGACATAGAGCAGACCCTCAGTCACTACGTGTTCTGGATGAACAAAGAAGCCAGCTCTCATGGTGGACCGGCTGCCCATAGCCTCTGGGAAGCTTACCTTCTGGACTGTGAAGGTGCGTATGACATATTCTGCCAGGGGCTCTGTTTCAATCAGGGTGACTTTAATGTCTCCGTAGACCTCTGTGTCATCTGGCCAGTATCGCACACATTTCACCTGTGGCCAAGTGAGAGACAGAGACAGAACAAAGACAACGATGCATAAGCACATGGCTGAGTGTGAGCAGCTGTCTCATCTGGTCGTCCCATTCAAATAAACCCAAGGGTGACTTTGGTGGCATTTCAGTCCACAGGGTTCACAGCTGACCAGGGATCAGCAAGCTGCACAGGGCTAAGCTCCCTCCCAGAGGCACTGGAGCCATTAGAAATAATTGTAGTACCTTCTTTTGCAAAGCTCCTTGTAATTTTCCAATGCATTATCACACTACGTCATCAAATAGAACAAGGTGAGATAGGTGGGTGTTACTAGCCCCACTTTACAGATGAAAATAACACTCAAGTTTAGAGGTTTGGTGACTTGTCCAAGGCCATGTGGCCAGTTTGGGGACTGACTGAGTCCCCTTTCTGCTCTGTCAGGGTGGAGCGGCTGAGTATTATCAGCTGAGCGAAGATGAGAATAAAAGGTGGGAAACAGGAGGTGGAAGCAGAAGTGGTTGGGAGGTGGACATCATTAAGAGGTGGCAGGTGGGGGTCTGGAAGGAGAAAGGCTCTTGGTTGGGGAAAGGATGGCAGGTGCTGGACTCCAAGGGAAGACGCGCAGCTCCTCTCTGACCCTGGACGTGAGCAAGCCATTCCCCAGTTGACTGTTTAAGTCACACTCATGGATGAAAAAGAGATCATGGTTTTCCCCTTAAAAGAACAAAAGCATGATTACCATTCCGGGGGACGCTGCACGGCCTAGAGTGGCATTTCCCACAGTGTGTTCCGCTGGGTGCTAATAGGTGTTAGGTAAAAAACAAGAAACAAAAAACAAACAAAAAAAGGTTTTGTGGTCAAATGAGTTTGGGAAATGCTGTATTATACAGTTAAATAGGTAGTTTTGCTACAGGACTACTCAGCTTTTTTCGCATGCTAGTGCTAATGTGTTTTGTGTTTTGCGACTCTCCAAAAGGGGCACAGAGGATGCAGCATTTCCCAAACGTATTTAACCATGGAACCCTCTTCTCACTAAGCATCCTGCAGACTAGCATCCCATGGAATCCACTTAGGGAAACACTGGTATAGTGCAACAGGGCATGGGGGCAAATGGATTCATTGCTTGGTCCTAACACTCAGTATCTGGGTAGCCCCAGAAAGTGCTGAAACCTCTCTGAGCCTCAGCTTCCTATCAATAATGATAGCTAACATTTACTGACTGTGTACTGTGTCTACCATGGCTCACAAAGTGTTCCGCAAATACTTTACATGTATTATTCTAATGACTTAACAACATGACTTTATGAAGTAGGTATTATTATCCCCATTTTGCAGACGAGGAAGCATAGGAAAGCTAAGAAAATTGCCCATGGTCAACTGTTGGTAAGGGACGGAGCCAGGATGCAAACCCAGGGCACTTGAATAATAACTAGGAACATGGGCTCCTATGATTGTTGTAAGTTGCGGGAATGCACAGGAAGGGCCTGGCACAGTGTTTGACACTAGCAGGAGTTTAAGAGATTGCTTTCCTCCCCAAATCCAATTTAGATTTATGGTCTATCCATCAAGGGAGTCTGTTTCCAATGTGGGATATATTGTAGAACAGGCTGAAATTTGCCTCTGAATCCTGGGCTGGCCTTTATGTCCACAGTAGCTGCACCCTGGGCCTGAGTCCCTGGGGAACAGTCTGAGTGGAGTGATCATGAGCGCTGGAATGAGAGTCCACTGTCAAATTTTGTGCCTAGGTTTTGGCTGAGTGACATCAGGGTAGGTACTCTACCCCTTTAGGTCTGTTTCCTCATCTGTAAAACTGAGTGATGGACTAGATAAGGGTGGACTCATGGATAAAGTCTCACCTGGTCCTAAATTCCCATTAGGCCCTGAGATGTCCATACCCCTTTACTGGATTACAAAAGCCCAGATTTTCTCCTTCCCATCATCACAGAGGCCAGAATTCATCTTTATGAATTATCCGTTTCTTACCCAAGCAAAAACTTACCTGCCCACATTTTAGTTAGTTCATATGGTGTGTAGAGAGCCCTTTTAATTCTAGTGTTTGTACACCTTGCCTTTAAACTCAGCAGCCTACCCACATGCCAGAGTTAACCAAGTAGGCAAAAGCAAGCTGGGAATAGCAGTCCCATTTCTAAGCCCCAGGAGTAGTTGAGGACCACCTCAGAGAGAGTTGAGATGGAGCAGAGCAGGAGACCAAGATCTGAGCCCTGAAGAACATCAAGATTTCTTGAGGTCAGGGGAAGAAGAGTGGGTAGCAAAGGGTTGGATGCCGCTGAGGTTGAGTAAGATGAGAAGAGAGAAGTGGAGACTGGATTTGTTGACATGAAGGATGTGAGTGATATTGACAATATCACTATTGGTGGGATGGAGGGAGGAGCTACGCTGGGGTGGGTAGAAGAGAACATGAGTGAAGAAACAGAGCCTCTCTGTGAGTCTTTAAAGTTTGGCAGAAAAGCAGGAACAAGAAGATACTTTTTATTTACCTTTTCCTTTCTTTTTAAGATGGAAGGTACTGGGCGTGATTGTATGCTAAGGGGAACAATTTGGCAATGAGGAAGAGACTTATTTTGCAAGCGAGAAAGGGAAAAATGAAAAAAAATTATTGAGTAGAATCTGTGATCCAGGCACGACGTTTGCCTTTGGAAGGGCAGAGACATGGCTTCTGTTGTATTAGGCTGAGCTATAAGAAACAGTGGACATTCGACCATTTGAGTCAGCAAAAACAGCCATTTCTTATAGTCAAACCTGACAGCAGAGGAGAAGAACAAGAGGATGGTTGTAGATACAAGTAGGATTGCAGCTTTATGGTGTGACGATGAGGGAGTGCATGACTGATGGTTTTAATTTCCTCAAAATATATGAGATGACATCATCAACGGAGAGTGAGGGTGGAAAAAGGGATGAAGGGGATTTGAAGGGAAAGGACATTGCTTGAATGTGGAATAGGAGTGATGATATCTCCCTTGTAGGTTGCTGTGAGGGTGAAATATTGACTAAGAGGCACTTAGCACAATGCGTGGAACAGAGAGATGTTCGAGAGGGCATCTCCAGCATCCTCTGACCAGGCGAGTGCAGGAGAGGCTTACCCTGCCCACTTCCACCAGGTTTGTGACCATGACGATGCTGGCAGAGTTCTCCTGCCAGATCATTCTCCAAAAGTCCTTTACAGTCTCCTGCATTGGACCTGACAACAGAGAAGGCAGTGAGGTTAGAGAATGCAAGTGCAAAGAAGCAGCTGAGAAGATGTGTCCCTCTGGTTGGTCAAGCCTCCACACTGGTGAGCAGAAGTGAGGCCGGTGATCCTCGTTAAGATACCAAGTATCTGAGACATGGGTCTGAGACATGTGAGCCTGATGGGGACAGATTAGGGTATGGATGGGGACAGCCTCATTCCAAGCTCTCACAATCTGCAGCATCTACTGGAAATGGTGGCAGCCTCTCCTCTCTCTTCTGTCCTCCTCCTGCTCAGACCCTTCCTACCAACTCCACGTATTGCCTTATCTGGACTGTATGATGGCTTGAGGGAGTTTTCAAAAACTGGGCTCCAGAACCTCCATGACAGACAGGAAGGCAATTGGGGTGGGGGGTGGAGAGAGCTGCTGGGTGCCAGATGCTGAGAACAAAAACAGGAGATGCCTGATTTTGAGCTTGACAAATGCTGGAGGCATTCCTCTAGAGGCTGAACAGAAAGGAAGGAAAAAAAAAAAAAAAAAAAAAAAAAAAGGCGAGGAGCAGAAAATAGGCTCTGACAGTCCAAAGCAATTTCCTTGGAAATTACTCTTTCAATGTCCTGGGCCTTCATCATTTTTAAAATTACAAAAGTAATACGTGTGTTTGATATAAAAGTTTGAATACCATTTTTCTATATTTATATGTATATGTGTGTATTTACTGTAATAAGCATCAAACCTATTATATGTATTTTCTGATGCCCTTAAAAATTCTTACCAAGCATAATAGTTTTAATAGCTGCAAGGTTTTCTATAATATGGCGGTAACACACTTTATGTAACCAATGTACCAATTGTTGGGCATTTAAGATTTTTCACTTTTTTATTCCTATTATAGATAACACCGTGAAGAATGTTCTTATATGCGTCATTGTCTATATATATAATTATCTGCAGGATTTTTTTTTTCCAGAAGGGTTTGAAAGGTATGATCACTTTTAAGCCTTCTGAAAACGCACTGCCAAGTTACTTTCTAGGGCAGCAAGCTGCATGTCTGTTATGGGCACGCATCTATCATGGAGATAAGGCACCATCAGCTTGGGCCTCTCCCTCCTGACCATTTCCAAGTGACAGCTTCTTACTCTGTCACTCATGGGCCTTTCTCCTATAGTGAAACTTGCCACCATTTTCCTTCCCAAATAAACAAATGAACAATCTCAAGGACCTCTGGAGATTCTTCAGCCTACCCCTCTGTGACTTCTTTGCTGGTGGAAACTCATTCCTCTCCTCCAGGGCTGTTTAGTGAAAAAGGAGGGTTGGAGTAACAGATATAGGAGGAGAGGACAAAAGCCTTGCATTTAAGAGAGCCCTTTCCCTTGGGACCCCTGAAGCCTCTCTGAGGCACTAGGTGGAGGGAGGGCACTTACCTTGAGTTGCAATGTAGTGCCGAGGTCGATGGTATCCCTGGATAACAGGAGAAAAGCACTGAAAAATCTGTTGTCAAAGCTTGCAGACAGCGCAATATTAATAAACATCCTCTCTGAGTCTTGATTTTCTCATGGGCAAAATGAGAACAGCATCAGTTATTCCCAGAGAAGTGGCAAAGGTTAAATGAGATGTTGCACATAAAGTGTGCAGTAAGTCACTAAATGCTAGCTATTCTTGTAGTTACTTGTGAGGTGCCTACATAGGCTTGCCTTGGAGCCAGTGGCACTGGGAGCAAAGATTTGATGGGCATCACTTATCCTTATGCACCCAAAAGAGGTAGAGAAGGAGTTTTCAGGTTTATGGGGAGCATCAACCACCAAAACGTCTTTCTTGAGCCATGATTTTATGAAGAACACTGTACAAGATCCTATGGGACACCCAGAGAAGAAACAGGAAAAAAAAACCCAATTCAATTGTTGACTCCCTCCATTAGCAACAATTAGAAAAAGAAAATTGAGAAGTATCCCACATTGCTTCTCTATGCCAACATTCCTGGGCTTGGAATTGAAGTCCCAGGTAAGGAGAAGACCTTATGGAGGTGTGACTTGGGATACCCATAAAGATACCTGCAAATTCAAAGACCAGTTTCTAATTTCTGTGTACATTTCAGAGCGCTACAGTAGGCCTTGCTGTACTCTGGCTGGGGAGTACCCTGCTGCCCCATAACCTTCATCATTGGAGAAGAAGTTGAAGGTGACCCCTCTTTTGCCTGGGCATGGCATACATGGAGTGTCCTTTTTCCAGTTACAGTCATATTGAGTAGAATTTAAGTTTTGGAGACAGACCTGCATTTAGTGCAGAACACTGAATGCAATTCATATTTGTTAAATAAATACATGAGTGAATGAATGAATAGATGAATAAATTTTTTAAAGAACACAGATGCCAATTATAGACCCTATCAATTGAGAGATTGTTGACAGTCCTGAAATCCACTTAGCTTTTATGGTTAACCACGTCCAGAGAAAATAAGTCCTAACGTTTGATGGACACCTGCCTTTGTCTTAGATGTTGCTGACCAGTCTTTTTGTCCTGTTGAGGTGGATGAACTGCCTTGAGGCCACTTTCTTCAGGAAATAGAACTGCCATCTGTATGGTTTATGGTGCCATAGATGTGGCATCTCTAAAGTACTAGACCCACTTTCTGATTCAAAGACAAGTTTCTGAGTCCCTTGTACATTTCTGCACCTTTGTGTTTCACTTGCTCAATAATGATTTTGCAGGCACCTTCCAATTGCTGGGCCTGCTCTAGAGTTGGAGGTCGGCACCAATCCAGGGACAATGTCATGACCAGAACTATTGGATTAACCACAGTTAATGAACAGCCCCACTTAAAGTCTGTGCTTGAGAAATCCTGTGTACTTAGTGAGGTTGTCAGTTTCTTAAGGACAAACACTCCCTACTAAGCTTAATTTTTTTCCCACAGAGCTCAGCACAATGTGAGACTCAGAGCAAATACCCAATAAACAAGCTGTTGACAAACCAACTAGGCAGGCAACATAGCATGGTGATTATGTGTACCATGGACTCTGGAACTCAGCTGCCTGGGTTTGAACACTGGCTTTGTCCTTTCTAGGGTGTGTGGTCTGGGGCAAGCTACTTAGCCTCATTGTGCCTCAGTTTTAAAATTCACAATAGCAAAGATATGAAATCAACCTACGTGACAATCTCAATGGATTGAATAAAGAAATTATATATATATAGTATTCAATATGTATATTATGGATATATACATGGAGATATATATGTATGGAGATATATACACACACACACAGTATTCCATAGTGTGTGTGTATATACACACACATATATACACACACACCATGGAATACTACTAAGCCATAAAAAATAATGAAATCATGACTTTTGCAGCAACATGGCTACATGGATGGACCTGGAGGCCATTATCTTAAGCGAAAAAACTCTCAGAAACAGAAAGTCAAATACCACATGTTCTCACTTACAGTGGGAGCTAAATAATGTGTACATATGGATGTAGAGTATGAAATAGTAGACACTGGTGGCTCAGAAGGGTGGGAGGGTAGGAGGGTGGTGAGAGGGATGAGAAATAATTTAATAGGTGCAATGTGTACTATTCAGGTGATGGTTACACCTGGTGAAGTATAGGCTTCTTCTTGCACACTGAGTGTGTCATTTCCCTGCTTATAAGCCTGCAGTAGCTCCCTGTTATCTGCATGGTAATGCCCAAATGCCTTAGCTTGGGACTAGTCATCTGTCTCCATTTTCATCTCCAGCCTCACTGCCAGTTGTCCCTCTTTGTCCACTCCTACAACCCCGTGCACCCTGTGCTTCAGCCTCACCAAGCTGCTCTTGAAATATGCCCTCCTCTGGGATGCAGAGCTGACTCCTTTCTTCTGAGTGGCCCAGTAGGGCTTTGTATATGCTCAGTGAATACAATTCCATGTGCTGCAGTAAATTTTTTTGTACTTTTCTCCTCCTGGGCCATGGGACATGCCAGCCAGAGCTGGGTGCAGTTTTCAGCAGTCTGGTTGGTGAAATACATGCATGAATGTTTTTGAGCTGAAGTTGGAGCATCCTCTTAATGCTCAGGCTGGAAGAAAAAGAGACCCTGGAGGAAGCTGTGATTTGGAAGATTCTAACGTGCTTGAAATTCAGTGAGATAACATTCTGAGCAAGAGGTTCACATTTTAGTTGTGGAGTTAGATGGCTTGGATTCTCTATTTTGTGAATTCATTTGTTTGCCCATTCACTGTCAATCAACAGGTATTAATTAAGCACCTACTACTATGTACAAGGCATTAGAAATACAAAAGTGGACCCGATGAATGTGGACTTTGCTTTTGAGCAACTTGTAGACATCAACAGACTGGGGTAAAGGCTACTAATGGGAAGATGTGGGGACTCTGTGGAGCACCCATGGGAATTGAACAGCCAAGGAAGGCACCTCAGAGGAGGTGGTGGTTGATTGGCTCCTCAAGCCTGGTTTGCGCATCTTGACACCTCTTGTCATTTCCACTTCATCCTTTCAGTGATGTTCCCAGTTTCTCTACCATTCTTTCATCATCCGCTGGCTCTTGCTCTTCTTCAGAGATAGGGATCACATGTCCATCCAGAGGCCTTAGCATTGGCCGTTCCCCGTGCCTGCTATGTCTGCCCCCAGGTAACTGAGTGGCTTGCTCTCTCACTCCATCCAAGCTTCTGCTCAGTTGTCAATCACGTCTGTGGAGAGTTCATCTCTGACCACCCCATCAGCTTCTTTCCACTTTCTCTGGCTTGCTTTTCTTTAGAGAACTTATCACCAAATAGCACACTATTCTTTCTTCATTTACATGCTCCCCAGTTGAATGGGAGCTCCACGAAGCCAGGGCTGTATCTGGCTTGCTTATGGCCATGTCCCCAGCACCTAGAAGTCAGCCTGGGCCACTGGCCTTGAAAAATTCATATTGACTGAATACACGCATGCTGTGTGCCTGTTCCCATGCTGCATCTGAGTAAAGAGACCCACCTTGGCTTCCAAAAACCCACGCAGTCCCCAAAGAGAAAACATTCCAACCACGAGACTCCTCAGCAAAGGAGATAAAAGGAAATGTACTGCTCAATTGGGGCTCCTCTGGGGATTCGCCAAGAGCGAGTACAGAAAACTTCCTAACCTTAAAAGAACTTTGAGTTCATTTAAGTCCCACCTACACAGCACGCAGATCGACTGCAAACCAGCACTGGGCCTGCCTCCATCTGTCTGTGAGCAATGGGAAAGAGGTTTGCATCCAAAACGCATTTATCTCTCTCTGCACTCATGCATCTGTTACTTACTGGGGACCCAGATACGATATTTATTTCCAGGCTGGTAATTTATAACAGATTTAAGTGGCCAATACATTTTCGGGTGTGCAAACAAACCTGCGAGCAGGATGGTTCAGACAGTAACAGACCACGGCCTCCGGAGGCAGAGACAGGGCTGGCCCCATTCAGCTCATTATCCCAATGGAGTTATTTTAATGAATCATCAAGATCCAATTGTAGAGAAATGATTCTAGCGTGGGCAGTTAGCTCATTAGAGAGCCAGGAAGGATTCTGGCTGGGTTGGAGACCAGGGTGATGGAGTGAGGACCGAGTTAGCTGGCTGGAGCCCTGTTTTGCCAGGAACCCAAATAGAGACTCCAGGAATTTTATCTTTGCTGGAGTATATAGTTGGTTCACAATTAATGGAGTTCCTCACTCTTCACTTTATAGTGGTAACGGTGCAAGGAGTTGCTTGTGGTTGGTTATCTTCCTTTTGTCCCTCCATTTCCCCTTTTTCCTTCCGTGGTCTGCTCTGTATGGATCGTACCATGGGCTCCTATGCTTTCTGCTTCAAACTGGGTTTAGTCAATGGGGAACAAAAGCAGGAGCTCAGAGACCAGGAGGAGGTTGGGGCATATGTTCTTCTAGGTTCCTCCCTGCCAGGTCACCATGGCTTGCTTGACCTTGTCACTCAATCAAGGGCTTCAGTTCTTGAAGGGCAGCCCTCTCTCATAGCTACTGTCTTCCCTTATCTGGGTCTAGGGCTGGTAAGGACTCCCTACTATTGTTAGCCTAGTGATACTGCACCCTACCCTACCGGTTTCTCTTAATCCTGTTCACATCCTTATTAAACTTTCCCTGGGTACCCACTTCGAGGAAGCCTATGTTTCCTTTTGGGATCATAACAGATACTTAACATCAGTTATTGCACACTTGTGGGGTGGCACCACTATCTCATTTTATAGCTATCAGAATGAGTAAGTAATTTACCCAAGATCATAAAGCTAGTAATCATAAAGGCCTGGATTCAACAGCCAGGCCTTCGACAAAGACCAGATTCATGACTTTATTAGCCCTGGATTCTAACCACTGAGATTCAGCCCGGAGTTCAATAACCCAAGATAAGATAGCATGAACAGAGGCCATTTGCCCTGTCTGCCTAACCTATTCTTACAGACAGAAGGAGGAGGTCGTGGTGTGTCCTAAGTGGGCAGAGAATTGAAGTTCAGTTGTGTGACCTTGGACAGTGCTCTTAACCTAGAGCTCTGGTTTCCTGTCTTTAAAGGCTTGAAACATGTCTTGTAATGATAAAACAGGAAAGGAATCAGAGGCATAATTAGCACTGGTGTTGTAGAGATTAACTTACACTGAAAGCAGTTTCATTTGTTGCCTATAAAATACCAAAGTGTGTCTTGGCCCTGACTGTAGTCAGATGCTCATTCAACTTTGGATTGAGTGCCTATCTAGGAAAATGACTTTTGCTGGGGGATTCTAGTCAAATGATGAATGCCAGATACAGAAACTCAGGCATGCCAGACCCTGTGTGGGCTGTGGTCCTTAGGGTCACATCCACGCAGCCATAGACAAGGTTGAGGAGAAATGGAGGAATCAACTCAATCAATATATGCTGACTCGGTCCTGGCTGTGTGTTGGCTGCAAGGTGGTGTCTGGCAGTGGGTGGGGAGGGAAAGGAGAAAGAGTGATAAACTGGGAGCCATTCAGGTCTAGTTCCCATCCTGGTTCTGCCCCTGACCAGCTGCATGGCCTGGGACATATTTGTAATTTCTCCAAACCTCAGCCCTTTCCATCTGGAGAATGGGAATGATAACACCTACCTTGAAGGGTTGTGAAGAGGTTTTGATAAGCTGACTTACTTAAGCCACCCATCATAGGACCCAAGACTGACTCATTAAGAGCCAATTGGTGGTGTCATTGCTCACTGTGATTTAATATTAAAGACAGCAGGGTATGGTGGGAGAGGTACTCTTGACTCAGATTTCTGCTCCCTCCTCCCCTACCTCCTAGCAGTATAATCCTGGACACGTTATATAATTTGAAGAGACTCCCTTACTCATCTGGAAATGGGTAGTAATGGTACTTAACTTGTGAAGTTGTGATACTAGTTAAGGTGATGTTGGTACAATGAAAAGTGATCAGTAATTCTTAGGTTACTATAAACCTTCTTGCCTGGATGACTCTAAGTCACCTTTCAAGGCAGAGCTGAGACATCACCTCCTCCAGGGAGCCTTCACTGGCTACTTCCCTTTCCCACCAACTTGAAGCATTGATTTTCCTTTATGATCCCACAGCCCCTGCTCTGTGAAGGTCTATTTTCTTATCTGACTCCCTCACCAGATTTGAGTCCCTTTTAGGTCAGAGACCTGGTCTTAAAAGTCAGTATTTCCCATACACGGTGGAGGGTCTGCTCTGTGTTTGTGAATTGAATACTGGATGTATGAGGGAAAGGCTGCTGGCATGATGGGTGCATGCTCAGAGTGCCCTGCTCTGGGCTGGAGAAAAGCTATTCAGAACTGGCCATCTCCTGTGAACTTTCCTGGGAGGGCCACGGTGGCAGAGACGGTGTTTATCTTCAACTCCACTGAAGTTCCAGCCCCAGTTCTTGGCCATGTAGTAGGCCCTTTGTTAATTAGGGCATAATTAGGGAAACAGAAACCACTCTAGGTGTTTCAGACAGAGGCAATTCAGCATGGGGAGCTGGTTACACAAGTGATGGAGGAGCCAAGATGCCAAACAGAGAATAGTGGGGCAACCCAGAGATCAGGGACTGCAGGAGGCTGCAAGCAACCCTTAGAACTCGTGGGATAGCAGGAGAGGGAGAAATAGCCAGAATCCAGAGTCCAGAAATAACCAGAGCCCCAGCAGGCTGACTGGTAGGAGATTGGACTATGGCAGGCCTGCTTGAGGAAAGATGGAGCCACAGACAGGATACAGCCACTGCTGGAGCAGCTGCCCAAGGAAGGGAGTGAGACAGAGAATACACTGCCTTTCCATCATCCTCCAGTCTGTCTGTCTGTCTGTCTGTCTGTCTGTCTCTCTCTCTCTCTCTCTCTCTCACACACACACACACACACACCGGCAATGCAAGGCAGAACAGGGAAGCACAATAAATAGATCTGAGGGCAAACAGTCGAATGACCAATACAAGGCTCAGTAAGTATTTGTTGAGTTAATAACTCACCTGGCTTAGTCTAGATTAAGGGGGAATTCACTAACTGCACCACCATACTTTATAGCCTATCTGTAAATACATTTGAGAGTCTGGGGGACCAATGTGAATCTCTGTGCCATTCTTCAAGACCCATGGGCTGTGAGCTGAGGTCCTGAGAAGCATGGCTTGAATCAGTCACATTGGGTTCTTCTTCTGACTCCAGCAGTCATGTTCTTGCTTAGCAAATGCTCTCACTTCCATGCATACCCTTCTTGGCTCCTGTTTGAGTTTAGTCCCTTCCTCAGTTGTCTCTGGAATACTGAAGCAGCCTCTTTCCTTATTGGTTGTAGTTGTCTTGATTCCAGAATTTCTTCCCTCTGATCTATCTTATCTTTGGTAGCAGATAAATCATCCCAAAGCTCAGTTCTGAGCTGGTCACCTCCTTGATAAAAAATGTTTAATAGCTTCCTCTTGTCTGTGGGATAAAGTCCCGCTTCCTAAGCCTGAGCATTTAATCGTCACTGATGTAGCCCCAACAGTATTTTCAACTATTCCTGTTACATATTCTCTGCTCCCCTCAAATGGAGCTGCTATGTATCTCCTTGCCAGTTGCTCCATCTTGGCTTGTGCTATTCTCTCTAACCAGAGGCCCCCCTTCCCTCTCTTTGATTTTAAATCATACCTGTGCTTGAAGTTTTGGTTCACATCATATTTTGCATTCCTGATGGGAGAAGTGATATTTTTCCCTACCTCTGAATCTCTGCAGCATGTTATTTGTACTTATGACACTTACCACTTTCTACTTTGCCCTGGAATTATTGATGTGTGCGTTATCTGCCTGCTAAGGTTTTAGAGGGTAGAGACCATGGTGTTTTTTGCATTATGGTTCCCATAGCATCTAGTATACATTTTACAGTAGGCACTTTAAAATTTTTGTGGCATAAATGGTTGTGCATTTATGTGAATGAATGAATAGATCAACAGACATATATACAAATGAATAAATGGGGTGAATGAGTAAGACCAACAGTTGTCCTGAGGCTCCATACAGCAGGCTACTATAGCCAGCCTGAAAGAGGATACAGCATAAGATGGACAGTCAACTTGGGTTACACTAGTTCCACGTATCAGGGAGGATCCAGACTGCTCTGGAAGGGCCACCTTCTGGAGGAGAGTTTGGGGTAAACCACAGATCTTGAGCCTGCAAAAGCCATCCCCAGCACCCAGCCCCATTAAGACACTCACGTCAATGTAGTTGGCATTGATGTAGTCAGAGTGCGGGTCTCCATCCAGCACCAGCAGTCTCACCCGGGAATGGTCGTCTGCAGAGAGAGCAGAAATCAAGGGGATGGTTGATAAGAGGCCCTAGGTGAGGAGGCAGCTATGTCCTCCTTTGGAGCTACTGTTTGTTAATGACAGCACGGCATATCAGGCATTGTGCTACTCTCTCATCTAACTCTCAACACTACCCTCAGTTACTGTTCCTATTTATAGATGAGGAAGTGGAGGCTCAGGGAGGTAAGCACTTCTTATTTTTCTACCTTCCCTTCTGATTTTGTCATTACCTAACTGGATTAGTCACCTGTTTCTTTAAGTCTTAGTGATTTAATCATTAAAACGGGTATGGCAATACCTGCTTCATAGGACAACGTAAGAGAGACCATATAAAAACGCTCGGGACAGGAGAGTGCTGCATCTGGATTAATACACTCCATTTTCATGTGGTTTAAAAACAAACAAATTTACCTATCTTCCGCACACACACAAATTGCATTTTCATTTGCCCCTCGGAGTATTGTTGTAGATAGATTGTCAGCCATATATTGTTATCAATACTATCATTAAAGTGAGGCTGACTAAATCATTGTAAAAGAGGTCATCAATAACTAAACACCGTGTTAGAGAAGATACCTTTTCAAACACAATCTAGACATAAACAAGATTTGCAGGCTTTATTTGATAGCATGCTTACTTCAAGTAACACCAAATGAAAACCATTAAAAAGAAAACTAGTACAGCAGAAGAATCAGGATAATCCTTTACAATTAATTAAGTGAGCTCTGACACGCTAATAGACACACACAAGTGGAACACTGGTTGGGTCTGGTTGGGAGGAGGGACCTTGGTTTGCTACCCAGGTCACTGTGCACCTATCATTGTGCAGTCACTGCATCCTAATTCACCTTCCTCTAGGGCAGGAATGGGGTCCCTAAGAAGCGGGCTGGAGAACTCTGGACATCCCCAAGGGTTTTCTGGGAGTCAAGGAGGTCAGGCCAGCTTATCCTCTTAGAATGATACAGCATTCTGCAGTTTACAAGGCACATTTATTTGCAACTAACCAAAACCCCCTTGAGAACTGGGACATTATGCTTTATTCCCTGCTCCATCCCCTGCACCTTTAAAAGATCCTGACATACAGCAGGTACTCAGTAATACATGGAAGAGGTATAATTGGATGACCTCACTGGGTTCTCACAGTGACCCTGCAGGAGAGAAGTAGGACAGGTTCAGTTAGCCCTGGTTACAAATGAGGAAACTGAGGCTCCAGAAAGCCTGACTGGCCACATGGTCAGTGAATGCTAGAGCACAGAGGAGTGAAGTTATCTTAACTCTGAGTTCAGTCGCTCCTACTTCCAAAGGGGTGTAAGCATAATGTTAGAAACCACTTCAGATATACCTAGCAGAGGGAATTAACTACAGAGAAGTGGTTGCCTGGGTGACAGAAGAGTTGAGCAGCCAGATAGAAGACAGTGGAGAAACTCAGAGATAAGGAGCAACAGTGAGAGACTGCCTGCCCTTGGGCTGAAGGGATGGAGGGAGGTGGCAGAGTGTGCAGTGCTCAGCAGCTGGGGCCACCTGCTGGAACCTGAAGCCACAATGGGATTCTAGTAGGAGCTGGAGATGAGGAGGTGCTTCCCTTACTGCTAAGGAAGGCAACTGTAGTTGTAATACCCTGGCTTCTCCCTTTCTTCTTCTCTCCAGTCTCCCAGTGCATGTCGTTGGCCAAACCTAGACAGCTGACAGGAGAGCCTGAAAAATGCAACCTACAGGGGTCAGTTACCTGCAATAGTAGAGTGGGAGAAGGTAAGGAATGGGTCCTGTTATGGACAAACAGGCCTAGGGCTGGTATAAGACACACCCCATATCTATCCGTTCATTTAAGAATCATTCATTGAGTATCTGCCATGTGGCAGGCAGGCACTGTGCTAGACAGCGAGTTATACTAAATGTCACTTTTCTTATTCATCGGGGGAAAAGTTTCAGTAGAAGCAACTAGAGGGAGCAGGTGGGTGGTCTAAGCAATCTCTTTGGGTGGGTGGGAGAGTGGAGTGTGACATGGGGGAGGTGTTTGAAGTTAACCTTTATTGAATTCATGGTAGGTACCAGAAACTTTACATACATTATCTCGTTCAATCATTTATGCCTCAAAATAGCTGTATAGATTATTATAAGGATACTAGAATGATATGGTATTATGAGTCTTCCCATTTCACAGATGAAGGCACTGAGACTCAGAAAGATTAAGCAAATTTCCAAAGTTATACATCATGTGAGTGGCAGAGAGGACTTCTCGATTATGATTTTCTGACCCTGAAACCCTACTCCGTCCACATAACTTGCTGCCCCAGAGCCTCAGGCATCTCACAGACACTACAGCTGGAGTCTGCGCAAACAGTTGGTCCCCAGTTCCTGCAGGATTGTAGCCCCGAAGAGGACTCCCTGGGGACAGCCCATCCAGCAGGCTGGAATTCAGACAAAGCCTGGCACCTGACTCTCAGCCCAGGGCATCAAGCCTCTGTTACCAGCAGTTCCAGAAGCTGTAGGCCTTAAAAAAGTGAAAATGCACATCGTGTTTTCACTCAATGGTCTCATTATGACTTATTGATTCAGAAATCTCCTTTATTTGTTGAGTTATGCCTCCCTGGGGCCCATAGCACTGGAAACAGAGATTCTGGTTTAAAATGTTGAAAGGGAATTTTTAAAATATAAAATGAAGTTGAAAAACCGGAAAGCAAAAATGATGAAAAACAAAACAAAAAGAAACAAACTTATTTATTCTAGTTAAGTGTTCTTACGGATGAAAGCAATCTCTAGCCACCAGATGATGGTGTTTGACAACATCTCTCCTTCATTTATTAAGAACTTGTTTACTGTATACCTACTCTGTGCCAGGCTAGTTGAAGGGATTAAGAAAGTGCTATCAAATGTGATACTCATGTTAAGGAGTTTGTCAATTTAGTAGAGACAGACTATACGCAGAAGCAAAACTTCCAAATCTAGAAGATGGGGAATAGAGGGCTTTGTGTAGTGACATGTGAATGAGGAATTAAAAATGAGTAAGGTTTGGCCAGTGCACAATGAGGAAGTCTTTCTAGCAAAGGGAACTGCTAGAGTGAAGGCAGATATCCTGAAAAAAGCAAGCACAGTTGGGGAGCTGCAAGGGTCTCCTATCCTGGGAAAACAGAGTGTGAGGGGAACAGCGATGGGAGGGGAGACAGAGGAGGCAGCAGCGGGTGTTTCATTCAGAAGGCTCTCCATGCCCTGTGAAGCCACGGAGACCCAAGGAATCATGCTGGGCTCTGCAGGGCAGCCTAATACAGTGTTTCTTTTCTGGGACAGTGGAAAGGTGCTTTATTATGATGTTACCAAAATTCATGCCTGCACAGCTAACTTATGTCAAGTGAGATTAACTTTTAATATATGATGTGAGATATGGAGCTGTGATCAGATTTGGCTTCAAATGTTAGCTCCATCACCTAGCAAATCAATTGATCGCTCTTAGCTTTGGTTTCCTTAACAAAATGGAGCCAATACTACATGGCACGGGAGGATTAAATGAGAAAACATAGGTGTGAAAAGTGCTAGGACGTGAAGAAATGAGAGGACAAGCCACAGACTGGGAGGAAATATTTGCCAAACACAGATCTCAGAAAGGACTTGTATCAAAAATACACAAGGAACTCTTAAAACTCACTGAGAAAACAAATGACCTGTTTAAAAAATGGGGGAAAGATCTGAACAGACGCCTAATCAAGGAAGATGTACAGATGGCAAATAAGCTTACGAAAAGATGTTTAACATCATGTGTCATTAAGAAATTGCAAATTAAAACAACAGGATACCACTACATACATATTAGGATGGCCAAAATCCAAAACACTGACACCACCAAAGGCTGGGGAGGATGTGGCACAGCAAGGCCTGTCATTCACTGCTGGTAGGAATGCAAAATGGTACAGCCTCTTTGGAAGACAGTTTGACAGTTTCTTACGAAACTAAACATACTCTTAACCATACTAGGATCCAGCAATTGCACTTCTTGGTATTCACCCAAATGGGGTGAAAACTTACGTCCACAGGAAAACCTGCACATGTATGTTTATAGCAGCTTTGCTTAAAATTGCAAAAACTTGGAGGCAACCAATATGTCCTTCAATAGGTGAATGGATAAACAAATTGTGGTGCAGACGGTCCCTCACTTAGGATGATTAGACTTAGGATTTTTTTACTTTATGATAGTTCCAAAGCAACATGCATTCAGTAGAAACCATAATTTGAGTACACATATAATTGTTCTGTTTTTAATTTTTGGTACAGTGTTCAATCAATTCCCTGACATATTCAATACTTTATTATAAAATGCACTTTGTATTAGATGATTTTGCCCAACTATAGGCTAATGTAAGTGTTCTGAGCATGTTTAACATAGGCTAGGCTAAGCTATGATGTTTGGCAGGTTAGGCATATTAAATGCATTTTTGACTTATGATTATTTTAAACTTATGGGTTTATGGGGATATAACCTCACTGTAAGTCAAGGAGCATTCATTATATAGTCATACAATGGCATATGGTTCAGTGAGAAGCAGAAATGAGTTATCAAGCCACAATAGACATGGAGGAAACTTAAATGCATACTGTTAAGTGAAAGAAGCCAATCTGAAAAGGCTCCATACTGTATGATTCTGACTATATGATATTCTGGAAGAAGATAAAACTCTAGACACAGGAAAAAGATCAGTAGTTTCCAGGCGCGTGGGAGGAGGGAAGGATGAATAGGTGAAGCACAGAGGATGTTTAAGGCAGTGAAACTATTCTGTACCGTAGTGCAATAGTGGATATATGTCATTGTGCACGTGTCAAATCCTATAGAACTGTACAACATAAAAAGCAAACCCGAATAAACTGTGGACTTTAGATAATAATAATAAATCAATATTAATTAATTGTAACGAATGTACCACAATAATGCACGATGTTAATAATAGGGGAAACAGTACGTGGGTGGGAGGGAGTACATGGGAATGAAGTACTTTCTGCT